AATATTTCTCCTTTAGAGTCAGCTAACAATATATCATCCATGTAATGATAGATTATGGATTGTGGAAACTGTTTACGAATTATTTCTAACGGCTTTTGTACGAAATATTGGCACAGGGTGGGGCTATTTAGCATTCCCTGTGGCAAAACCTTCCATTGATATCTCTTCACCGGTTGAGAATTGTTATAATTAGGTACCGTGAAGGCAAATTTCTCTTTGTCTTGTTCTTGTAAAGGTATAGTGAAGAAGCAATCCTTTAAATCAATAACTATAATAGGCCATTCTTTGGGTATCAAAGAAGGCAAGGGCATTCCAGGCTGTAGAGAGCCCATTGGCTGGATAACTTTATTGATGGCTCTCAGGTCTGTAAGCATTCTCCATTTACCAGATTTCTTTTTGATCACAAATACAGGAGAATTCCAAGGGCTGGTTGATTCCTCAATATGTCCAGCATTTAGCTGTTCCTGAACCAGGCTTTCTAAAGCTTCTAACTTCTCAGAGGTCATAGGCCATTGTCCTACCCAGACAGGTTCCTCTGTTAGCCATTTTAAAGGTAGGGCTTTTGGTTCCTCTGTTTGTTCAGCATTTGTATTTTGTTTTTGTACTGCCTGGATATTTGGTCTCTGTCTTGTATAGTACTTAACAGTATTCTTTCCACAATCATGAGGTCGTCTATGGTTCCTATCTAATACAGGAGGAATGTTAATCTGTGTATTCCATTGCTGTAATAGATCACGACCCCATAAATTTATCACTACATCAGCCACATATGGTCTCAACCTCCCTCTCTGTCCTTCTGGTCCTATACAGTCAATCCATCTCGTGCTTTGTTTTACCTGAGCCAGGGTTCCAATCCCTAAGAATTGAACATTTACCTCATGCAGGGGCCATCTTTGAGGCCAAGATTTATTAGATATGATAGTTACATCAGCTCCAGTGTCCACCAGACCCTCAAACAGTCTATTATTCATCTTAACTATCAATCTAGGCCTATGACTATTTATAGCAGTTTGCCAAAATATACGTTTTTCATTTCCTTCTGTCATGTTTGATTCAACTTCCGTCACTAGTTCGTCATCCAGAGCAGTATGAGTTTTTATAATAGGCACAGAATTTTCTAATTGTCCTGTGGGAGATTGTCTTCCACTGTGACTGGGAATGTTCGAACCACCTGTGATGTGGGGGCCTTCGAGAGGCCCCCCAAGGAGTTTCCCGATGGTAAAGGGTTTCCTTGCTTGTCTCTGGTCGATCTACACTCATTTGTCCAGTGTCTGCCTTTGCCACACCTTCTACATAACCCAGAAGGCTGAGGCCTTCTGTTTGATTCATTCCTGGGGGTGTTACTTCTAGGGAAGCTTTGCCTACAATTTCTTTTTAGATGTCCTATCTTACCACAGTTATAACATCTGACATTATGATATCTTTTCAAACCTTTGGGGATGGCTTCTCCTACCCAAGCTTCTAAGAAACCCAGGTAAATCCCACTTCTGACACCAGATATTGCGGTAAATAAGGGTCAGGATAAACAAATAGGCCGAATAGATGTTTATTCAGGGAGAAATAACTTACAACCTAGACAGATGAACACCAGGAAATTCAACCCGATCCTCTCCTGTCCGAGTCACGCCAGAAAGAGAGCGCCTTCCTGGCCCCCTCCGACCTCCTTCCTCAGGTCACCTCCGCCCATCGCTCCACCCCCCAATGGGCGTGGTCAGTGCTACAGAAGGACTACCTCACTACAGAGGGCTAAGTAGAACTGGAGTCTGTTGTAAACTAGGTTATGAGGGCAGGAGAAAAGATTTGGAGAATGTCTTCTACTTGAATTTTACTGAAAGCTTGAGATTTCATAGGTTTGGCCTCTTCTCCACAGAAGGGCAGTTTTCTGAGGCAGTTGTGGACATGAGCAACCATAGCAATGGATGCTTTTTAAAAAATTTTCAATTTAAATTAAAAATAATCTTATACACAAGCAATCCCAGTTCCCTCCTGTCCTCCCACTACCCCTCACCATCTCCCCATCCCACCCCACATCTTCAGAGAGGATGAGGCCTCCCATGGGGGTTCATCAAAGTCTGTCACATCATTTGGGGCAGGGCCTAGGCCCTCTCCCCCTGTTATCTAGGGTGAGAGTATCCCTCCATAGGGAATGGAGCACTAGGGATAAACACTGGTTCCACTGCCAGCTGTCCCATAGACTGCCCAAGCTCCCCAAGTGACACCCACATTCAGGGAGCCTACTTTGGTCTTATGTAGGTTCCCTAGCTGTCAGTCTGGAATCTGTGAGTTCCCATTTGCTCAGGTCAGCTGCTTCTGTGGGTTCCTCCAACATGGTCTTTGACCCTTTTGCCCATCACTCCTCCCTCTCTACAACTGGATCCCAGGAGTTCAGCTCAGTGTTTAGCTATGGATCTCTGCTTCTGCTTCCATTGGCTACTGGGTGAAGGCTCTATGATGGCATTTAAGGCAGTCATCAATCTCATTATATGGAAAGGGCATTGAAGTTAGCTTTTCCACTATTGCTTAGATTCTCAGTTGGGGTCATCCTTTTGGATTCCTGGGAATTTCCCTAGTGCCAGGTTTCTTAATCTAGTAACGCCTGGCTCCCTCTATGAAGGCATCGATCTCTTTCCTTGCTCTCTTCTGTCCTCCCCCCAACTCAACCTTCCTGATCCCTCATGTTCTCCACCTCACTCCCCTTCTCCTTCTCCTACCTTCCTCCCTTCATGCTGCCAATTTACACAGGAAATCTTGTCCCTTTCCCCTTCTTGAGGGATCCATGTATGTCTCTTAGATTCTTCCTTGTTTCCTAGCTTCTCTTGGGTTGTGGATTGTAGGCTGGTTATACTTTGGTCTGTATCTAATATCCACTTATGAGTACATACCATGTTTCCCTCTCTGTGTCTGGGTTACCTCACTCAGGAGCCCATTGACACATTTTGTAACATATCTGCTGGTTGCCTGTATGGTCCTGGGGCTAGAACCCAAAACCTTGCACACACTAAGCTGGGCCCTTATTACTGAGCTAGGATATCCCTAGCCCACATTTTCTAACGTTTTAACAAGCCAGATTTGGGAAATTTCATGTTCTGCTTTAGATTTTCAGTATGTCTTGTAGAGTAGGAAAGGTCGGGCAGGTCTGGGTCCCTATCCCCAAAGGCTGCCACCTGTAGACTGGAGTGCACTGGGTTGTACTCACAGTTCTCCCTACCCTCAGGGGTTCATAGCTTCTCACCCAGCCTCTTCCTTATTCCCTACACTCCAGGAGTCAAGAAATGGTTTCTCCACATGATCGACTGTTTGCTATGCTCTAAGGACAACTCACTGATGTCGTTCTGCTATGTGGGCTTCAGGGATGGCACTCGGATCACTTGCCTGTAAGTGTCCTTATCTACTGGGCCATCTTACCAGTCTCAGAAAAGTCATCGTAAGCAAAGGGCAGAAACAGCAAAGCTGGCTTTGGAAGAGGACTGAGAGCTCACTTCTCTGCTAACCTCCAGGATCTGACCGTCATATGGCCCTGGGCTCAGGTGTGGCCAGGTTTTTCTGCATAGTAGAGATGGCAGGACAAATGAGGAGTTTCCTGCCAGTGGATGTTGATCTCAGCCCCCCACCCGGGGAACAGAGGCAGGGTCCATGTGGCCAGGACCATGGGAAGCTCATGCTGTTCACCATAAGATGAAAAGCTGCCACTATATCATCTAAGCATCTGATGATACAGCTGTAAATGTGGGTTTTTTTTTTTTTTTTTTTTTTTTTTTTTGTTTTTTTTTTTCTTGGTCAGTATTTTTTCCTGAGTTGTTTCTAAGATCACCTGGGGAAAAATGGGTAGTTGGTGAACATATACTATTCCAGCCCTTGGCAGATGGAGGCAGAATAGGTGTTCAAGATCAGCCGGGACTACGTGATAGACAATCCTGTCTCAAAAGAACAACAAAAAGAACAAAGGGTGACTTAGACTAAAACATGGCAGCATCACCTTCTTTGATGGTAGGGGATCACTTCTGGCTTTAAACTGGTTGTGTGCTTGCCTCCTTGGACCACCGCCTGTGAGGTCTCTCTGCAGAAAGACCATGCGCTTCACACACTGGTGGAAAGGAACTTGTGTTAGAAACTTAGCCCTGCAAAGCTCAGGGTGATGTATATAATCCCATCCCATGTATACAAAGCCAGATGGAGGAGACAGGTGCAGAGCAGCACAAGACTCTTGAGGCCCTCTCCAAGGACGGTCTCTTCCTTGTCTGCTACTGTGAAGTGATGATCCCCTTGCTCAGCTTAGACTTCAAGCCTCACTGTAGCATTATGCACATAGCACAGTGGCAATTAGAGGTTCACAGTGACCTCTAGAGCAGGCCTGTGTCAGCGGAGCAGAGGCAGCTGTAACACTAACAGCAAGGTTGTGGGCTGCTGTGGTGGGAAAAATGTGAATAGATGAGGAATTCGGGAACAGACAGGGGTTTTACTCCTCCTGGGAAACATTGTTTTTTCCTTTTAAATCTCCTTTGTTTAGAGAGCCTTGCTATGTTGCACAGTGTGGCATTTAACTCCTAGGCTGAGATGATCCTCCTGCCCCAACCTCTCAAGTAGATGGGACTAGAATTTTCCTTTTTCCAATGGGAAGTTTATATCAGAATAACCTTTTATTATTATGTATAGCAAACAAGACAAGACATTTAAGGAATTGTACAAGATGAATTGATTAGGACAAAGCTTCTAACCTCTTCTGAGGCAGGGTCTCACTATGTAGACTGGCTGGCCTGGAACCCACTTGCATTTGCCTCCTGAGCACTGGGGTGGAGTGTCTAATTTATTCCTGAGTCTATTGGACTCTTACTTGCATAATGGGTATGTGCCCCTCAGGCTGAAGAAGCTAAAATACCATTGGGAAAGCCACTGTAAGCCCCTTGGGAAAAGTAGCTATTTCACTTTCTTACATAGGCAGCAGCAGCAAATGATGAACTGTTTATAAATACAAAAAAAAAAAAAAAAAAAAAAAACGTATCTCCAAAAAGAATGATACAACTTTTATTTTCCATGGATTTTACAGATACTTTTGCTACATATTTATGTATTCTTATGAGATTATATTTTTTCACTTGTATGAAGTTCAACCTTATACAATTTTAAGGTGATATGTTTGGTAGTGTATCTATAATCTTTAAAAAGTTGAGTTTTTGGAATGTACAGTATATGAGGTAAAATCAAGATTACATTAAAAATTGTTTTCTCCTCTGCACTAACTGCAGTGAGGCTCAAATGGCGAGTACACTATTAAATGACATTTACTATCAAAAATAGGAGTTCATTTGAATTACTATGAAAAACATAAGCCACTGTGTGGCACATTTTACCATTTTAGACATTCAACTATATAGAAATCTCTGGGCTCTTACACTCAAGACTCATTTGTACTGCCAAATATGGCACTTTGAAGAAGTTTCTAGAAAACAATCGTAATCGTGGTTGTTTGGGGGACAAGTCTTCACCTTACTCATGAGAGATTAAATAAAATGTAAACATACAGTATATTATAGTGAGAGTTTTCTTACCACTTGGAGAGACCAAGTTTATCCATTTTTTTTTTTTGAACAAAGGTTAATGTTTTTTTTTCTACAATGCAGATCATTTGACATAAAACAATTACAATACATGCCCATTCTATTACAAGGGAAATGCTTCAGAATTCTTCAAAGCACAAAACATGTTTCTTTTTGACAGACAGAAGTGCTTAGTAACCACTAAAATGCAAACCTCAGCAACTAAAAATTAGTGATTCACTACTCTAAAATTCAAATAATAAATTAAAGAAGCTAGTTACAGATGTCTACAGATAACAGATGCGCTAAAACAAAAATTTCATATAGATTCATTGCAGACTGTATTATTACTGGCAGTCATTGACATCAGGGCAAGATGTACAATGTGATACAACAAAATTCAATTTGACCATCCACCAACTCACAAATGCAAGCTCACAAGACATCAATGAACTATGCGATTTGCAAAGTGCTCTAATGCAACGGTACCCACATGCAATCAACAATTTGGAACAGTATCCAAACAGACATTATACATTAAACATTAGTTTCTTAAGAAAGAAAGCAGCTTGAAGTTTACTGGTGCAAATTAATTTTGTCTTCAGATTTGGTACCCCAAACAAAAAGGTTGAGTTTGATTAGAAATTCTGATGGCAACGGCAGTAGTTATAGGAGATGCTGCAAAAAAAACCATTGGGAGTCCTTCAAAGCTAGCCTAGACCAAGTGGTGAGTGTGGACTCGTGTCTCTTTACTAGGCAGTCTGCACACAGCCCTTATGTGCATGTATGAACTTATGCACATACAGTTTATGTGCTTCAAAATCAGTTACTATTTAAAAGTTCTCTGTTCTCAAACCCCAAGAAGAGGAACTATTCAAGTAAAGGTGGGTATTTCTGGGTCTGTGCTTTCTTGGACTCACTTGTGAATTCACGTGTATGTGTAAGGAGAACCCCACACTCACCAAAGAGGAAGCTTCTTTTTCTCACTCAGATTCCTTCATCCAGTTCTTATTTGCTAAGCCCTCCAGTTATTCATCAAAATCCCACTTACCAAACAATTAAGACAAATGAGGAGGTAGAAATATAGCACTAGATTGCTTTCACAGCATCGGACTTGAACAAGTTTCGTAGAGCATGTTAGTGTAAATTCTAAGTCAATTTGAAAATTTTGCATGGCAATCATCATTGAAACAAACACTGTTACACTCATGCTAACTGGTCAAAACAATCATAAATTTTGCCTTTTAGAAAGTTTGTCTTACTAGAGGCATGTCCAAGGGTGCAGGGAGGAGGAAAAAAAGGGGGGGGGGAGTCCCAACTAATTAACAAAACAAAAAGCCCTCCCCAAATTGATGTTTCTGTGGCGGAATTCTCATGAAGTGCCAGCCTTTGCCCTACACATAAGCACTGAAAATGCCAAAACCATTTTTCAATATATAGTCAATGCCAGTGCTAAATGCCACCATTTTGTAAAAGCAATACAGAAATAATTTTAGTACATGACAAAATAAAATGTAATACAGTGTTAAAAATAAAGTTATATTTTCACTTGATTACAAAGTACTGAATGATAAAGGCAATCAGAATGGAAAAAAAAGCAAACAACACCAGGATGACAGCAGCACACTGCTCGTCACTAAGAGTGCGCCGGCTACGCACGCCGTCCACAGTGTCTTTGTTGGTGTTGGCTGGCGGCTCTGTCCTCTGGGAGATGAAGAGCACTGTGGCGCTGTAGGGACCTACCAGGTCCTGGTGCCCCACATGGTCTTGGCATTGGCGAATGGCACACACACGAAATCGATATTCACAGTTCAGCTGAAGGCTGGAATACCGGAATGAAGTATCAGGGCCCTTGTAAATCTATTAAGGAAAAATTGGAAAAAGAATGAAGCAAGAAGCCTGGACAGAAAACAGCACATTCTCGACTTATTTTAGTATCATCGATTTCATCTTTGTGTATGTGTGGTGAGTGGACACTTACACATATAGGCCAGAGGGCAACACTGAGTCATACTGGCTTCAATCACTCACCACTAATTATTAATACTTTTGAAAGTCTCTCAGTGAATCTGTAGCACTGGGATTTTAGGCACACGCTGCTGCACCTGGCTGTTATGTAGATGTTAGGGCTCAAACTCAAGTCCAGAGCTTGCATGGCAAATAATTCACCAATGAGTCATCTCTCAGCCTCTATCTTATCTTTTAAATGACATTTCAAAAACATACATCCATTAAAGTACTTGTCTGTGTGCTGCAAATGTGAGGGTGTGAGAAGTGTTCTCATGTTTACAAGTGAGTTACAGAGCAATCAAATACTGGAATCAATTATCTGCTTTACTCAAAACAGAAAAAGAAGTCAACTTCTTCTTTGTGAACTCACTGTATGAGAGGATACTGCACACTCATGCTTACCTTGTACTTAGAGGAGCCAAAATTGCCTAAAGAGTAAAGTTCTACAGTTTTGAACATCTGTCAAATCAACAACAGCAGGGAAGTTGTGTATAGGTATCCACTGCACATCAATTTTGTCAACTTTAGAAAGAGAATGGTCATTTGGAATCACAGACTAGAATCTGAAAACCTAACTCTTCAGTCATGCCTTAGAAGAGAAATGAACAATACTGGAGCCACACAGCTTTTCAGAGGTGTGTCTTCAAGAAGAGGAAGCTACACACCAGAGCTGACTGCGCCTGTGACCCAAGCCCTGCATGGTGGCTTCACAGTTCAGTGAGAACGTACTCAGTATAACAGGACAGTGCTAGGCTGATAGCAGATGTCTACACAGACATTATCACTCTCAGCAATGAGCCTCTTCTCATTCTACCAACAAGAAAACTCATAATGCCACACCTCTTCCCAGATGATTTCCTTAAGCCAGAAGTGGGCCACAAGTCACATCTACTGCCTTTCCAACTGGTGAAGGAGTTTCAAACAGTGCCCATGCAAGATGATTTTCTACGGGGGGCTCTGAATGAACTTAAGAGTTTGGTAAATTGCTATTTGCCTTTATTTTGATATTATAAACTTATCATTGGTAAAGAAAACATAATTGAGGTCTCAGGTCAATGAGAATTAACTCAATACTCTTTGTCTATCATGATCTTTTAGAAATTCATTTGGCTGACCTAACTTAGCAAGGACTCACACTAAGATTCAAAACATTATATATTTACCTTTGAAGCTGTCATCACTTAAGAGCAAGTTTTGTTATTTTTCAGTGAGATTTTTCATAATTTTGGAAGTGAATACACAGTGTTATTATTTCTACCAGTGATTCTAGAAATACATTTCTTTTGTATGGAATAATACAGACAAAAAAGGTTTGATCTCATTACCACAAAAAAAACAAATCACTTTAAGATAAAGCAGTCACTTGATTACATTTAAAAATCACACCAACGTATAAGCATACAATCAGCAGCACATGTATGGTCAAATTAGTGGGACCCTTGTCCAACTTATGGACACCTGTAAGTGATGGGTTTGTGCAGTCTGAGGAGCACTGCTCTTAAGAAACCCTGGAAAAGCAGGGCAGTGGTGGCACACACCTTTAATCCCAGCACTCAGGAGGCAGATCTCTGCGAGTTCAAGGTCAGCCTAGTTTACAGAGTGAGTGCCAGGATAGGCTCCAAAGCAACACAGAGAAACCCTGTCTCAAAAAAAAAAAAAAAAAAAAAAAAAAAAAAAAAAAAAAAAGAAAGAAAGAAAGTAAGAAAGAAAGAAAGAAAGAAAAAGAAAAGGAACCCTGGAAGTCAGGCAGTGAGGCAGTGGTGGGGCACATCTTTAATCCCAGCACTTGGGAGGCAGAGGCAGGCGGATGTCTGTGAGTTCAAGGCTGGTCTGCTTCCATTCTCCTGCTCTGCTGTCATCACAGTGCCCCTGACTGATGACATTCGGAAGTGCACAACCACTTCAGTGATATCTGTGAGAATGTTTGGAATAGACCAGGATATGAACTAACCAAGTAGGTAATCCTCACCAACATGGATGGGTACCATCCAACGTTTGAACAGAATGAATGACACAGAAAACTAAGTTCATCATCTCATTTTGGCTGGGATACCCTTCTCCCGACTTTGGGCAGTGGTGGCCTGGACTCCCACTAGGACTTAAAGCCACACTAGCTTTCCTGGGCCCCAAGTTCATGGATGACAGACTGCAGAGATGAGTGGCCTTCGCTGAGCAAATCCCTCCATTCAAGCACATGTCTGCTTCATCTGTGAATCCCACTGGCTCTGATTCTGCACAGACCCCTCAACTTGGGCAGGATGTCTAACCCTTCCCTACCCAGCTCATGTACTACTTGACTCACTCTTAAGTTTCAAAGGTGGACCAGGCTCAGGTTGGCTAAAGCTCTTAAAGTGTCTTTGAATTTGGTCTCTTTCTTTGAAAGTAACTTCCCCACTACACAGTCCCTGATGAATCTGTGGAGCTGCTGGAGAACCAGGCCCACGGCTTCCAGGTTACTCTGTAAGGGACTCCCTTGCAACTGCGCACGAGGCAGTTCAAGATGACGTTCCAGCACTTGCAATACCTCTGGGTTGTTCATATCCTTTGAAAGTGGCTCTTTCATACTTCACATGTCACCTTCTTAGACTCTCCGAAACACCACTTAAAAGACTGCCCTTCTGAAAGGTTGGAAGGGCCACCAGACACCTGACCTGTCTCAGTTTTCTTAGAGTCTCCCCCCTGACACCTAGTGAGCAAGACAGTGCACAGGGTCAGCATGCATATGAAAGAAGAGGACAATACAACAAATCCATCTGGAGAAGGGGATAACTCTAGATGAGATGAAGTCAGCCAAAGCACAGGCTAAGAGGGCAGCAAAGTCCGGGCAAGGCCACCAACTGGAGAAAGGGATGAAGAGAGGTTAAACAGGAAATAATTTGTTTCTGAGCTTGGCCTAGGGTTATAGTACCTGTTGCTGCCAGAACTCCGAATCTTCAGAAGTCTTACAGGCTAGTTAGGATTTTCTAGGTTGGCTAGGAAACCAGTAATTTAAAATAATATTCCCCTTCTTAAAATTACTAATAGCTGAGAACAGAGAGCCATCAATACCTGATCTCTTCTACCGAAGCCCCAGCTTGAGAGTTGTCGGCCCTAAGACTCAGTTACGTGGCTATTCCTGCAGACTTAGCCTCCACAGTCCGAGGACTGCAGTTATACCCCAAACTTTCACCTATCCTAAGCTTTGTGCTTGCTAGAATACAAACGAGTTCCCTGAAATCAGAACATAACAAACAACTCACAATAGTAACTCTGCTTTCCTACACTTCTTGTCTACGTACACTGAACATCAAATAAATTACAAACAACATAATTCAGAAAAGGGACTGGACTCTCTGCAGATGACCTGCAGCTTCCGGAATGTTAACTTACAGGTAAACTGTAAGACTGCTAAGTGCTGGGAATTAGAGGGGCTACAGCAAGCATGAAGTTCTCAGAGTCAGCCTTTTCAGTTTTATAGTTAGCAATCTTAAGTGATACTAATTCAGATTCAAAGTTAAGTTAGAATTAGCATTACTGTTTCATGTACTAAAAAACTTATTAAAATTCATGGGTCTCTATTTCCTTTAAACATGCAGTTAGACAATAACATATTCTTATGTATTAATTGTGCTTCTTCCTTGGAAGGAAATCTGCTCATCTGTAAATTAATTTGAAATATAATTATGTCAATTAACAGATGATTTAATGAAGAAAAACAATGGGAGGCCAAATTTAACTCTTGGGGCCCTTTGTGATTTTAGTTATATTGCACTTCTATATAGTTTTAAATAAAAAATACATGCATTAAAATTCTATTGTTATAACAACATCTTAAGGGTGGAAAAAAGGAGATGGATGATTAATTTTTCCAATGGGAAAAGAAACTGTAGGATACAATTAAAAACAAATACTCTGTAAACCCTCAAAACTAAAGGAGGTTCACCACACAAAGGGAAAAACATGCAGATGAAGTTTAATGGGGACAGACCACCTTAGCCATCGATTTTCGCAAGAAACACTGACAGTCACCCACTCTGTCACCCACTCTCTACTAGAAGCTGTCTTGGAAATTTCCCTGCCAGGAAAGTGACACTTCCCCTAGACTTTCATCATAAAAGGCTATTGTTATAGTCAACATAAATGACATTGTTACAGTTAAGCACTGGACAATAACAGAGATAAGATAATACAGACATCACTAACTTTAGATCACTAACTATGACACTTAAAAACCAACTTCCTCAGAACTTCATTTTGTTACATGCTCTTCAAAATGTATTATGTATTATGTAATACTGAAGCGTCCTTATTGATTTCCATACTCCAATTTCAACAGTGCAATCAAAATGTGTCTGATTATGGAACTATTCGGGTCTAAAACACAAAAACCCTTTCCTGGCTTCTCATTGCACTGCAGTAAAAGTCACTGCATAGCCCAGGATGTCAGTGTGATTGCCACATCATCTCTGTACCTCCATGGCTTCCTTTCTGTTCGCTTCTCAACAGAACTACAGGTTTGACTAAGTCTGTAGGAGCTGGAGTGCTGCAGGGGAATCAGGGACTGTCAAGTCTGGCTTCAGCAAGGCTCAACATGCTGAGCATGCTGTGAAGGTCAGCTACTGGGGCAGGGTGGGGCCTTGCAGCAGCAACGCTAAGAACTGTAACTGTCTGTCTGAGGGGCCGGTCTGCCTCACACTGGCCTCCTTACTGCTGCCTTGGGGCAGCTCTTCTCACAGCACTTCCTCAGGGGCACTACAGTGGTCCCCAGTCCTCTGACTCAGTTTTATCTTTCCGCCAATGCGCATACAACCACCTGACACAGGGTTTATTGAGGTGTGTCTTTCCACTCCCCTGTGACTTCCAAGAAGGGAGGCGTTTTTTTCATTGCAGTGTCCTGAATAGTTGCTAAAGGAATGAACAGTCTACCAAGGACAGTGCATCCACAAAATGACTGGAATTCCAAGATAGCTGGAATGCAGTATGTACTCAACAGATGTTTCTTAATTAGATAGTAAATATAGTCAAATCTTCTACTGAAAATAAAAACTAATGATTAAAAAATACATACATATAAAATAGTATCTTGACACATACCTGTTTGAATTCTGAATCTTTCCCCACCATGACTTGAAGATTATAAATAACTGGGTCACCTTTCATTGGCTGTAAAGATTCCCATGTAATTTCACAACTGTGATCATTTATTTTCTCTATTTTGGGGGCTAGATGAAACAAACATAAATAAGATCAGCTCCATTTGATTTAATTTGGCACATTATACAGGCACTTGTTTTAATCAAAATCAACAAATCTCTAAAACCAAGTTATAAACTTAAATAGTGAATTTTTGCAATAGGTATGTAAAACGATAAAAAAATAAATAATAATCTTTATGAAGCTATGAGACACTAACTTGGATAAGGCAGCACTCATCAACACTGGACAGGCCAGCTACTAACAGTTGTGCAAGCTGGGGTCTGCTTAACCAGCTACTCCCAGTACCTCATACAGCACACCTTCTCAGCAGTCTCTATCACTATGAGTTGTCATCTCTTTAGATAGATATACAAAGTACAATCCTTGCCAGAGTCATTTTAAAACGAGAGCCACTTCAAAGTTAGAAATATGTGTATAGTTGTATGTACATAAGTACATGTTAGTGTCTGAAGCCAAGATAAATAAGCATTTGTCTTTCTAAGAGGAAACCTGGCTCCCCCAATCTGAAACATTAAAATAACCGGAGTTTGTGATATTTATTCTTTAAATAACAAGAGCAGAAACAGCAAATGAACCTAACTTGAAACACAACTTTTTCAATGTAGTATTCTTGTGTTAGATCATTAAAAAGATCAGTGACTTCCCTGAGTATTAGTGTAACACATGAAGCAGCACAGATAAGTGAGTACAACTCTTAGCATGTGCTTTGTCAATGCTTTTATATAACTGATAGGGAGACACTGGGTGCTAAATTTTAATTAAAAAAAAAAAAAAGCACTTCATTAATGAAAACAGCTTCAGGGGATGTAAATTACCTTTCAAGGCAGATGGGACAGATTTTGGAGTGGTGAAAATATACTCTTGGGAGAGAGGACCTTCCCCTGCTTCATTACAAGCTTGAATGCAGAACTTGTAGGACGTGAACTCACTGAGCCTTTGCACTTTGTAGGTATGACAAGGCCCTCTGTACACAGAGACAAACCTGAAATAGAAATAATCAACTTTATAACACCATATAAAAATGCTTTAAAACACACAAGTATATAATGGGGCATGCTATTTAGGAACAAATGGCTCCAAAAACCTTACCCTCATGAGTAATTGTCAATTATGTTTTCTAGCAGCTAATACACACTGCAGATGTAGCTCTCCCAATTTGACTTGATTTATGGAAAAATGTGTCATTAATCTAATGTTCAACCATCATATGTTTCTTCTCAGGCCTCAGGAACAGCTTTGCCTCTGCCTGCTGCCTTTTACGTTTACACTTTTAAAGGCATCCAAACAACATGAAGGCACTGCTTTTATTATGAGTTATCTCTAACCAATCATAATTAGACAATTTGTTACCTACAACATTAACTTGAGCTATGAGATAATCTGTACTTAAATTTCTCTTGTATTTATTTGAAAAGAAAAGGGGGGGGGGAAGGATTCTTAATTACAGGAATAATGTTAGCTAGCTTAGTGACATTTAGAGAGTATTATGAGAGACTATATAATTTTCAATAAACTATATGAGTATTAGGTAGATGTTTATAATCACAGATATCTTCCCTAATATATTACTTATATAGTTAATGTTTCTCAATTTTTTATTTGTTTGTTTCTTTGGCTTTTCGAGACAGGGTTTCTCTGTGTAGCTTTGGAGCCTCTCCTGGCACTCAGTCTGTAGACCAGGCTGGCCTCAAACTCATAGAGATCTGCCTACCTCTGCCTCCTGAGTGGTGGGTTTAAAGGTGTATATCACCACTGCCCAGTTGTTTCTCAATATTTTTAACGAGCAGTTTTTAAAAAAAAGTTTTAGAAACTGAGGAATGAGTAATGAATGCCCAGACACTGCTAACAGCCTGGAAACTATAGTAAGACTAGAATAAGAAATAGTTTATAAAGTGGCATATATATTTGCAATAAGCAGTAACTGGACAAGCCTGGCCTTCTGAACCTTTGAAGTTTATTTTCTTTGCATTTGAAAGAAAGGGAGATGGGGAATAACCATAGTTGAAAACAGCTGAAAGTAACAAAACTCTCTCTTATAATGCCACCATACAGCAAATGTTAGCTACGAAGGCAAAAACAGAGCAGGGACTGGGGAGATGCTCAGGGGTTTAGAGCACTGGCTGCTTTTGCACAGGATCCTAGTTTGGTTCCCAGCATGCACATGGTGCCTCATGACCATATATAACTCCAATTCCAGGGCATCCAACATCATCTCCTGACCTCTGAGGGTACTAAGCATGTTTGTGGTACATCCACATACATGCAAGCAAAACATTCATATATATAAACTAAAATTTAAAAAAATAATAAAAAAGACACAAAATAAAGATATTAAGTTGACATAATTTGAACGTATATATTAAATTTGTAGATCACAAACACCTTAATTTTCCCTAGCCATATTCAAACCCCAGAAATTCTTAATATGCTAAATGAATGTGAATGAAAAGTTTGCAATATCATGTTTTATGTTTAATAGAAGCTTTATCTTTTGTTCAAGCACTAATTAGAATGCTCTCTGCAAACCTTTTTGCACTATGCCAAATGCAACTGTTGTAAGGTGGACTGAAATTTAAACTGTCAATTCACCTAGTGCTAGTAAAATAGTGAAGAATTGTTCTTCAAAACCTGTGGCTTCAGTCAAGTGCTAAGGCAGGACTGTTTCTAGCAAGCCTTCTTGCGCTTCACCTGAGTGCAAATATTCTAACAAGATTGAGAAGAATTTAAACATTCACCCAGCAGAGTTCATAATACAGACAAATGGTTATACCACAAATCTGTGGTATGGCAAAGAGCCTTCTGGAAAAGAGGCTATATACAACTCTGCCACAAATAAAGACACAAGCATTAAAACACACACACTATGACCATGAATAATGTTGCTGGCAAGTTATTTACGCAATAAACATTTATATACATTAGCCTCAAGATAGACCTATGAAAAAGGAAGTAAAACCCCACCTTCCATTCTTATCCTCCATCTGAAGGTGGTACTGAACAGCATCTGTTGATAATGTCTTCGGGGTTCCTTCTCCCCATTTAAGCTTAAGGTTCTGGTGGTTAAAGGCAACACATTCCAGCCGAGGTGGATCCGGAGGGAGGGGCTTAGTTTTTAATTTAATCGTATGGCTGAAGGGACCAGCTCCGAGGCTATTCAAGGCTTGAATTCGTATTCTAAATGACACACAAAAAATAAGTTTAGCTTACGATTATTTAAATCACTTTTCCAGTTTAGGCAAACAGTTTTTGGGGTGTACCTGTATGTTGTATCCGGCTGCAAGCTGTCTATGATATAGCTTGTCGTCTTCCCCACTGTCAAGGGCTGCTTATCTCCAAGGTCTATGCTGTAGGCAAGGATTTCTGAACCATGGTCATAAGGCTCTTCCCAGCTAATTGCAAGGCAGGTAGAAGGTGAGTAATGGGGATTTTCTATGTCATCATCATTCATTTCTTGAAGACGAGTCACAATGGCAGGGACTGATGGTGGAGTCACACAGGCTACAACTTCACTGAAAGGACCTGCACCCACAGCACTCATAGCCTACGAGTGAATAAAGAAGTTAGGAGACACAAGACTGTGACTGTGGCCTCCAAACAGGAGACTCTGGACAATGTGTGCTGAGGCACCGGTCACCCACCTGGACCCTGCAGTAATAGGTAGTAGCTGGCGAAAGTCCTTTTAATTCACAACTGAGGCCAGGCCCACAGTAACACAGCTGCATACTTCCTTCAACTCCTCCCCATTCCAGCCGGTACTCAGTGACATCTGTCCCATTACTCAAAGGAATCTTTAAGGAAAGGATACAGTTTCTTAAGTCTTGATACTCAATAGCTTTGGGGCAAAAATGTTCTTTCCTCTAACATTAAAAACAGGACCACTTTTAATTTATTTAAAACATCTAAACACAACCACACTGTATAATTTTACATTTTTATTCATTAAAATTATCTGAATGGTCAAAATATAACTGCCTCATACCAGAGGCTGTTAGGTAAACAAACTTCAAAATAATCTGAAGACAGAATGTTAACTTATAGAGATTCCTTCATCATTACATTTCAAAGGAAACTGAAATTGTGATTGTCATTAGTGACTAATCCCAATACACAGTAAATACACTGGCAACAGTGGATTTGACAGTAGTAGTATTATAGAAAATTTTATGAAGTTTGTCAAAGTCCTCTGGTGGCTGCACTATCTCAGCAAGGAAACAAAGCTTTTGATAAAAACACAAACTACAACAAGAGTCTAAGTACCTAAGGTGCAAACATACCTGACTCAAACACTCAACTCACTTTTACCTTGAATTTATCTAGGATGTATTTCTCACACAATAACTGAAGGACCAGAAAGTGCGATCACCTTTATTCTTTTATATGTACTCCTCCTCCAATCACTTAGGAAAATTATGTAAAGTAGTGGAAATGACAATACCTCCCAGTTCACTTGTGCACAAGTTGCAGATCTGCATGTCACTTGAGGGGGTCTGCACTGGTCTGGTGGCCCAGGAGCTGTAGTGATATCGTATTTTTCTGAAAATGGTCCAAACTAGAAAAACAAACAGAACACACATTTTCCTTTTTCATCCTTAAACGTTCACCAAACAATTGTAGAAGTAGATGTAAAATTTTAAGTTTCATTTACTTTACTTTCTCTCCCCAACTCCCTTCTTCCCTTCATGAATGGCTTTTTGCAAAAAGGGCAAGCAAGGCATCAGTGAATTAGGTAGGTGGAATAAGAAGGAATTTGTAAGGAATGGAGATGGGTACCAAATAAAGGCCTGGGAGACAGCAGGCATCAATTTTATCTTAAAATCTGGGGTAGCAAGAGTCAAAATGGGTATCTAGAGACAAAAGAGTAAATAAAGTCATTCTGACAAACCATTAAAACTCAGTAAATAAAACAAAGACTGAGTACTGAATCTGCTACCAGTGAAATGCGACCTTGTGAGGTTACTGAGCACACACAGAGGACAACAGCTTAAATAAGGACTGCCTCGGGCTACACAGTCACAATATATTTAAGCGTGGTGCTCACAGATAAAAATCAGCTAGGGACAGGATAAGAAACAAAGCACTACTCACTGAAGTCTCTACAATACTGTGGGGAAAGAGACCTGTCAGCTTAATTTGGAAAAAATAAATAATTACAGAATACTTTAAAAAATCATGTGCTACACACCCAAGCAATTGCTTTGTCTTAGAGAACCTGCCTTAATGGAGAGGTGAGGGCATTAGCAGGGGTATAGGAACACTCTCTCTGAGCTCCAGTGCCTCTAGCTGTAAAGTGGGGTTATCATCACTTTTGTTCATTTTATGGAATTATCTATCTACACATACAGTATATTTAAAATACCTTACATGAATCAGAAATGCTTAAGTATTAGCATCTGCCCCTGAGGCAAACCCTGAATCACATCTGGTCTGAAATGGGGAGTAAATGCTCCTTAAAACCAGCACAGTGACCATGCAAACAGGTTGTTCAACACCCCTGAAGGAAACCACAGCTCTTTTGAAGTGGCACGAACTAACCAAGGCCTGAAAGTACAAAGATAGCAAGGAAGGTTTAGGGCACACTATTTCTTATTCATCACTGGAAACTTATTAAAACAAAATGCCTTGCTAAAGGATATGATAACACATGCTTGAGTGATGGCTGAGCTAGAAGGTCCCTCACCCCCATCCTATTTGCTGCACGGAGTCTGAAGCTGTAAGTCTTTCCAGGAAGAAGGTTGTTCACTGTACACTCCACTTCAGATCCCTGGTAGACGTCTCTCGGCTCATCTTTTTCTGCAGGACTCATTTCCACCGCGTAACAGGAAATGGGTGATCCACCGTCAACTACAGGAGGTCCTAAGGGTGGACAGATTTAGGCCTTTTAAGGGGAAGAACACGTTTGGTTCTAACTTGAATATAATGCATTGCCAAAATGAAAATTACCCCATCGTAACTGTATTTCTTTTGCTTTGGGTCTACCCTGCAACCTGGGAGGGAGGCATGGGCCAGGAGGCACAGCTGGAGTCTGCACAAGTAAGGATTCAGAGACCTGCCAAAACAAAAGCAAAATCAAAACAAAATGCCCTAAACAGACAATCAGATTGCTCTGATAAAGGATACACACAGCATGAGATTATACCAATAGCATGAAACTATACTATCAACTGAAAGGAAGGCTCTGAATAGAATCAAGCCTTATTAAATCATTGCAACATATATTTTTATAGGCAAAAAGACATATACTATAACTACCATTTTAAAAAACAAGTTGGAAAAAGAACAAATCCTTTTAGTAACTAGGAAATGAAACAAATACAGTATCAAAGACATTATAGGCAACTAAAAAAGTTCTGTCCAAAGAGATCCACAGATCTCTTAGATTGTTTTGATGCTATAAATGCTGTCTACCTTACTGTTTTTGGAGGTTAAGACTCATAGTTTTCGTTTCTTCTTCTTCTTCTTCTTTTTTTTTTTTTTTTTTTTTTTTTTTTAAAGAAACTGTATTTTAACCTAAAGGTCTGATGGGAGATATCATTCTGTAAATATGTTTCTCTTATTGGCTAATGAATAAAGCACTGTCGGCCAATAGGAAAGCAAGGTACGTAGGACTAGGAGACAAGGAGGACAGAAGAGTAGGGAGGAGATCGAAGATGGAGGACGGAGAGAGAAGAACACCAGCCCGTCTCTCTGGAAATACTAGATTAATAGGAATGGGTTGATATTTAAGACAGAGCTAGCCAATAAGAAATGCTAGTAACAGGCCAACAGAATTATATTAATACAGTGTCTCTGTGTGTTATTTGGGACTGGTGTGGCTGAGGGGGGGCAGGGGCAGGGGGAGGGGGCAGGGGGGACTACTCTTAACATAATGGTGCCGAACGCGGACCTGAGAACTTCCACTTAAAACTTAACAAAAGCTTTAAAAAGGATTTTAGAAACCAAAGAACAGAGACAAGCAAGGCTTCTTGGTAGCAGCATTTTTCTGTGTTGGACTCTGTTTTGCTAGAGACAAGCAGAGATTTGTGCAGCTCCTTTAAGGGAGATTCCCTGTCTCAGCATAAGCGGCAAAAAAACCCGCAAGGCTTTTAAAGAGCTCTGCTAACAACTGAATGGTGTTTACGAGAGCTGGCAATGGCAGTGACAACATCTCCAAGCCGGCAGCATGCTGCTGGATGGCAGCCTAGACCAAGACAGTGAGCACAGCTCTCAGTTCTGGCGGTAAAAGTACCCGCCGCCATCTTGGATAGTCGCAGCTAATACAGCTATGGCTTTCATTTTAGCAAAGTTGTTGTTTACCAGATAAAAGACTCGTGGCCAGAAAAAGATAAAGATTTACAATAAAGACAGATTCAAATTAAGAAAAACTTCTAAAGGTTTACAGTGTGTTTTAAAATATGTGTAGGCTTAGGAGAGAAAAAGAAACAGGATACAATGGTTTAAAAAAATAATAAAAAGAGAGTAGCTGGGTGTGGTGGCACACACCTTTAATTTCAGCACTCAGGAGACAGAGGCAGGCAGATCTCTGTGATTTTAAAGTAAACCTGGTAATCAGAGTGAATTCCAGGGCAGCCAAAGTTACACAGAGAAATCCTGTCTCAAAAAATGAAAAAATAGAAATAAACAAAGTAAAGATGGAAAGCACAGAGAGAATCTGGATACTGTACGGTATTATATTGTCTTTGTATCATTTGACTGTTGAGAAAATAACAACTGTTAAAACAAATGCTGCTGGATTAATTCAATTTATATATTTTGAAAATGCTTTGACTTCAAAATTTAACTCAAAGAACAGGTTACTGGGGAAAAGGATTTCTATTTTTGTTTCCACAGAAAATAAAAGCTGTGGATTCCTTCCAGACTAACATGGTTTGATCAAGCAAGACCCCCTGAAACAGTATCTCAGGTGATCCAACATTCAAAACTGCTGGGACAAGGCACCCTTGCAGACCACTACAGCCAGGATTTCTGAGTCTTCTTAGGATCCCCATGACAGCACTTCCTACCAGCAGGAAGCAGTTTGGAAAGAATGACGCCCAAATTCCCAAATATTGTCTATAAATGTTTGTTTTCATTTATATGGGGTTGGTTATAAATGGTTAATGATCACAACCAATTCTTTTTAAAGGTAAAAAGAGGATTATGGTATAGATATGAATACTTTGTTTTGGAATGGATTTTCATTTATTGATACAATTTAAGGTAAATTTTGTGATGTGTTTGTTTAGGTATTGTATTTATATAACTCATTTAGAAATGTATAAATTAGTACAGATTATAGATAGTTACATATGATAGTCAAAACTTAGAGTTAAGTTAGTTAGGTTTTCAAGATGTATTTGAGATGGGTAGGCATTCTTCAAACTTTTCAAAGATCTACAACTCCTAACAAAGGTCAACTTATTTATTCTACCCCTCTAAAAACAATTCTACAACCAGGTAACTTTCTCTGATATGCAGCACCTTTCTATTCAGTACTCGTTCCTACTTGGAAGTCTTCATTTGTTTTCTTATGAGACAGAGCTTGAACCCAGGGCCTTACACATGCCAGGCAATACCTTACTGTGAAAAGGTTCAAGCCCCAGCCTGGATTTTACTTTCAAGATTAACTATATGTATATTCTTTTTAAACACAAACTATTTGCTCAACATCACCCCCACCCTCCCACCCCCGCCCCAAACAGGCATTCTATGTAAGAATGCTTCAATGATGTACTAGACAATAATTTCAGATACTTATGTTTGTTGTTCTTAAAAGCAGGGAGATTTCTTTTTTTCTCTGGGCGGTTCTGGGGACTCAGGGAGGTCTCTTCTACAGAAAAATAGTGTTCTCGTAACAAGTGAGGCCTTTACTCTCAGTGAGCATCCTCAATGGCTAAAAATGGAACACAGTACCACAAGTCTACGGAGCAGGATTCACACTCCGTTTCACAATACTTGCACGTCTAACAAGAGTTTAAAAGCCACTGTTTCACAAGAGTATTTTTACTGATGTAAAATCAGTGTTATTCTAAATGTTCCCATAAATGATTCTTGATTCAACTCATTACAAATACAGCAAGCATCTGGAGCGTGTTGCCTGTCCAAGAGTGGAGAACAGGAAGGTGAGAGAAGCAGAGGCACTCTGTGCTAGAGGGTCTGCCTCATCCTGCTACACTTAGCTTTGCTACTGGGGCAGCTCTTGGTATATGTCTGTGCCAGGGTCCCTGGCACACTTTAGGAGGCTCCCCTAAACTCAGCCAGTGAGAAACACAGAGATGGGACCAGAAACAAGCACTCTGGCAGGAAGTGGGGAGGACAAAATGACTCTGTGGTTTGAAATGACTTAAAGACAGGAAAGGGAAAGTCTCCCTCTGTGCAGAGTGGTTCTGGCTTACGGGCAGATTCAAAGGCGAAGCACTGAGTGCTTAGACAGTGGGAGTACTGTGTGGCCAGCCCACACGGGCACTCAGAGCGTCAGAGCAAGACACCCTCACTCAACCCCTGACCCATGAAAAATGCTGGGGCTGAGTGAGTTTAACTGGAGTTGCCTGATGTACTCAAACTGAACCAGGTTTTAGAACTGTCCTCAGAACTGGGATAGGATCAATACAACTGATGAAGTTATCAGTCACTTTAGTTATTAAGTGACTCTCTCTCTCTTGTTTTTGTTTTTCTAAAACAGGGTTTCTCCACGTAGTCCTGTCTCTCCTGGAACTCGCTGTATAGACCAGGTTGGCCTTGAACTCAGGGGATCCACTGGACTCTGCCTCCCAAGTGCTGGGATTAAATTACTGGCTACTGAATCTCTTAACAATCATAAAATAATGCTTTTCTAAAATACTCAAATATCATATCTCTGTGTAAACGGTTTATGGTTTCTCCTGACACATAATTTACAGAGCAGGAAACAGTATCTATTTCAATTTCTACTGGAGATGGCTATCAGATATCACCCTAAAGTTGCCTACACATGGGCCAGGAGTGAGATACCCTGTTAGCATACTCTGGTAACAGTAACTCTAGGCACTCAGAAAACAGGGATTACTTTTCCACATTTGTACACAAATTTTAACCAAAAGGGCAGGATGCTGATCCTGTCCCATTGAGTCCAAATTAAAACAAACAAGTCTACACATAAGCATTACCGCACTCTGCCCTCCGTCACTAATGCAGTAAACCCGTAAGCGGTAAGAGCAGCCTGGATTCAGTCGGTCACAAAGATGTTCCCTGGTAGCTCCACTGTAGATCATATCCCACTTGTTTCCTGAAAAATACAGAATTGTGTGCGGTCACCTAAGAGGTAATGTTTAATGTTTTGGTGTCACGGACAGGGCAGGTTATCTCAGGCTTCACTAAGTGTTTACATAATATGTCAGAAACATTTTAAGCCTGACTTCCAGGAAAGAATTTAATTTTCCTTATGCGTGTAGCCTTCCAGACAAATCTGTGTGGGTTTGTTGAACTGAAATATCTCTATACAGCCTTTGGGTTAAATTGGTAATTGCTTTTAATCAAGCATATTAAATGTGTTTACTGGTCCAGTAATAATATTATAACAAGAGTGTAAGGAATCAGTATCACAGCACATTTAATCATAATTTCCAGATCTTTCTTTTCAGTAAACAGGCCATTTTGTACAGGTGACTCAGGCATACAGCTTACATGTCATAAAAACCTAAACTGGAGCTAACTTTTATAGAATAATTTTCCTTTGGTATAAATCTAATTTAATAAACTATTCTAATAAAAACACTAAATATATAGTATCTCAGGATCAGTCCAAATATTCTAGGATTGTACAATCTAAACAAATGAAAAAAGAAAAAAAATTAAGTATAATAATAGAGATATATAGCTGGTTGACATTTGATGCACTTATTTCCAGAGGTCACAATCTCAAGTGGATCACACGGGGCATGATCATGGCTGCTACAAACACCACCATCACCATCAAATTAAGCAAAAACATTTGTGTGGCAGCAAGCACAATGCAAAGTCTGAAAGAGTTGAGGCTCACTGACTAGAACAAATCTATCACCTTCACCAGCTACACTTACCATTAGGCCCTTCCGCCATCTCCACTACGTACTTATTGATGGGTGCCCCTCCATTGTCTTTTGGTGGATCTATTAAAAACAAAGGTGACAGTCTTAAAACACAGACAACCCCAAACAGAATACCAAGGCAGGATGTTAAAGAGGAAAGAATCACCTGTAACAATGTAACTATCACTTATTTATACTTCCTTTGTCTACACCGTTGTCAACACGTTTCAATTAATACACCTTTATTCCCACATTTTATAAAGTTGGCACTTCAATAATTTTTGGTGGCTGCACAATATTCCACTGACTTTAGATTTAAAGGCAGTTTGAAACTTGTACATATTTGTAATATGGTTAACTTTTCAACTGTGTCTCCTGGCCCTGATCAAGTTTGCACTCTGTGCTTCTCCATTAATCTCATGTGTAAGCAGATGTTCAGCAAGTTTAAGTGAGTAACTCAGGATTTCTGTTGTTGACATTTTATTTTTTATTTTTTGAGAACAAAGATGACTCGGGTGTTGCTGGCCCCAAAGTCATCAGTCTTCCTGTTCACACAAAGCTGTCCCTGTTTGTCCTCTTAGAGTAGCTCCCCAATTTCTTTAGTGGCAAACCTGGCTAGGATCTGTGAGCAAAAGGCTTTCCACAGATGGATCCTCTATGGAGGACACACTTATTGGACTACCCTGAGTTTAATAAGTTCACCCAGGCACCACAATCACAATGTCGCTGAAAAACTGTCACAGACAGTCTGCTGTACACTTTACAGGAAACCAAACCGCATCTTCACATTAACCTGGTGGATTACACTTGGACTTTCTGTGAGAAAACACCAATTCAGGGAACTGTGTCCATCAACAGTATCTCCATCTTCTGAACGTCATCATGTGAGTCTGGCCATTTACCCCATAGGCTGGAGCAACATCTACAATCTGTATGAAGGGCCACAGTTGGCGCATAGCCAGATACAGCAATAATCTACCAACCTGGACATACACCCATAAAAAAGGAACATGAACTCTGACCTTGCTGTTCATTCCTTTTCTTCTCCTCCTCTAAGGAGGAATGTAGTAAATGTCTAGCAAAAGGCACCCCGATACTTTCACAAGGGTAGTCTATATTGCTCATAAATTTTAGGAACAAAGAAAAACTTCATAATTAAATTACTTTAATCAAACACAAAATAAAGCAGGATCATCTTACCCCAAGTAATTTTAAAGCCATGAGAGTGTATCTTCCCTTTAACTGAGGGCTTCACAGGCACTCCTGGTTTGTCGGGGCAGGTACTAAATTCCACTATTTCGCTTGGGTTGCTTTTACCTTCTGAGTTATAAGCAATGACCTGTGATGAGAACACAGACTTGATGTTTGTGTGGTGGTTTGAAAGGAAATGGCCTCCAAAGGCAGTGGCATTATTAAGAGAGGTGGCTTTGTTGAAGGAAGTGTGTCACTGTGGGGGCTCTGAGGTCGCTCTTGCTCACGCTTCCCCCAGTGAGTCTGTTAGTTGACTCCTTTTTCCCTATTTGTATCCCTCTGATCTCCTTCAGTTGTCTTGTTGCTCTAGTTAAGACTTCAAGTATTAAACTGAATACGTATGGAGAAAGTAGACATCCTTGTCTTGTTCCTGTTGTTAGTGGAAATGCTTAAGTTTCTCTCTGTTTAGGGTAATATTGCCAGTAGGCATGTTGTAAATTGCCTTTATTAAGTTTAGGTATGTCCCTTGTATGCCTAGTCTCCTCTAAAATTTTATCATGAAGAGGTGTTGAATTTTGTCAAAGGACTTTTCTGCATCTAACGATCATGTGTGGTATTTAACTCTTAGTCTGTTTATATGGTGGCTTACATTTACCAATATATGTATGTTGCACTATCCCTGCAACTCTGTGAAAAAAATCAGTTTGATTATGCTGGGTAAAATTTTTGGTGTGTTCTTGAATTTAGTTTGCAAGTGTTTTATTGAGAATTTTGCATGTATGTTCATAAGGAATATTGGCCTATAATTTTCTTTTTTTGTTGGATCTTTGTGTGGGTTTTGGTATCAGGATAATAGTAGCTTCATAAAACAATTACCGAAAGCTCCTAAACTTCCATACTTAACAAAGAAGCTATTTGCAATTGACAGCTCAAACAGGTTAGTGTGGTGGGTTCATCCCATTAAAAAGTCTCCCTGAAGGCAGTTTGGTAATTCTCTCTGCAGAGGAAGAGCTGCACTTGCTGAAAAGGGGAAAATCACTTTTCCAACAAAGCACCAGCAAGTTTTGCTCTTGGGAAGGCCCCATGCCAGGCATAACATTGGCCAATAAAAAATGGACTCTGTTTGTTTTTGATGCTTTTTGTTTAGGTTATTTGCTTCATTGCTATTTTTTGTTTAACTTTTGTTTAAGCATGAAGTTGGGTGGATACTGAGGTGGGAGGATCTAGAAGGAGCTGGGGGAGGAAAAGGGTTAGGACATGATCAAAATATATGTATAAAAATTTTAAAATAAAAAACTAATTGAAAATATGAAGGATTTTATATCAATCTGTTTATGGGACAGCTGTTTTCTTCAGAAGGCTTAAATAGATCCACAGACCAGAACTGATGGAAGACATTGAGGCAACGGAGCGCAGTTCCACTAGGATGCTAAAGAGTTAGAATTCCTTACAACTGAAAATGTGATAAGAAGCTAGGCTGGGACACAGCATGTGTCAGTGTGCTTTTGTTTAAGAACTGCTAAGTTTTACTTCACGCAGAAATGCAGTATGTATAATTCCCCATGGAAAAGCCTGCAGGATGAGAAAGGGCTACACTAAAGGAACATAAAACCCAGGGTACTCTCTCAGTTAGGGCATAGATGAAGAAAAGAATGGGCCCAAGAGACCCCGGTCGAGGTGAAAACATGAAGGCATATGACTTTGAACCATCACTGATGCTAATGAGTAACATTTGGTGAACTTTGATGGTGTGTCACTTCTTCGTAAGCCCACACATAGCTCCTATGACCCAGTGCTGTGGACTTCAGGCTCTGCTCTGCATCCCAAGTCTGTCACTTGGAACAGTCAAATAGATAAAATCTGCTTATGCATTCTGTGGCAATTACAGAATGGTTAAAGTCTAAGAATTTTAATACACTTAGGAAATTATAAAGTATCGGTAACTTCCTCCTTAGAAAACCTGTTCGTATAATCATTACTAAGATCCAAACTGCAATCAAGCATCACTATAAATGCTGGACTCAAAGTACACACTTCCTTGGTATTTTATAAATCTTACAAGTATGAAAACTGTATTTGGAAAAATGAAATGATCCTTTATGAAATAAGGCAAAACAGTAACATTATTATAAACTATATAAGTAAAATTTCCTATTATTAAGGTTCCATTTTTTAATATTTTCAAGGAGTACCAAAACTTGTTTGCTTTTTAACAGTAAAAACTATTTATAGGCCCTCTATCATTTATCTGAAATGATTTGATTAAATGAGCTCTGGTAGGAAAATATTAATGAATAATTAATCAATGTACAAGTACTCTGTTATAATTTTAGTTTTGTTTCTATTAACTGTAATTATTAAATAATTCAAATGCCGAGCAAGTTAAAGAGCCAAAATATATTCCAGAGTGATGCCAGAGGAGGAAAGATAAATTCTAGAAGTTTCCATAAAGGCATTTTCTGTTTGTCACTGTTCAAAAGCATCCAAGTGACGTAAGGAAGAATTACACAACCAAAACATCACCATTTAGCATTGTCAATCATAGAAAGAATAGTTTGAGGCTGGGGTCACTAAAGGGCATTGAAACAATTATGAAACCCTGGTAACAAATACAGTGTTTACATAGGACACATTGCTCACAAAACGCTTATTACCAGGCAAAAGGGCAAATAACTTTGCAATTAAGAAACTGGTAGATACCACCTCCTTTGAGGGATTACCACTAAGAGTATATAATGAATCTGTCTAGCAAGACATGATGCCAAAAACTGTATTGGGTATGTTTTAACATGCATATTTTAATCACATTACACAGATAAGAGCCCTACAAAATGTGAAACTGGTTTTGAATTACTTAAAATTTAAAACTGAATGAATGGTTTGGAAGGAACACACAATGGAACTATGTACTTGCTTTTAACTTAACAAAAACAATAATGACAAGAAATACATCTCTTAATGGGCCTTCAAAATTTACCTTAAATTTATACTTCGTACTACGTCTCAGATTTTTCACTGTGTAAGAAAGATCTTCTCCATCATATTTAGGCTTAAAACCATACCCCTGGAAAGGGAAAAAAACAGTTTTCATTAAACATCTAATTGCAGAAATATGAGGAGTGACAGATATGTGGTGACGTTCAGTAGGATTAAGGATGCACCAAAATGACCTCAACTCTTATTTAAACTACATATTCATACTTACTGATGTTTCCTCCTCCATCTCTAAAATGTAAGAAATCCCTTCATCTGATGGTGTTCCTGAGGGCTTACTCCACTGTAGGGACAGCCATGTGACTCCAGCCTTGGTCAGTGCAGGACTTGCTGGTACAGAGGGGGCACAGCCTGAAGTGTAGTATAAGACCTCTTCACTAAAATCACTGTTGGAACAAAGTATTTTTGAAAAAGAGTAAAAATTATTTTTATTGATAAAAAGTCCCCCCCACTAATGATATTTCTTCAAAATAAAAATTTTAATATTTGTTGTTGTGATGGGGCTCAAATACAGACCCCTGAGTTGAACATGCTAAGTCAGAGCCCTACCACTGAGCTATAGTCTCTGCTCTGGAAAACCAATCTGAATAGATCTGAAGTGTCTTAAAGGTAACATGGTCAGACACCAAAAGGTTGCTATTCTTTCAAATGTGTACATGATGCTCATATTTTTTAACCTGTTGTAAGTGAATGTGTTCAGTCTCTGTAGGAAAGAGAACATAGTAAAAACCACTGCCCACCCTGTATATTTCCACCACACTTCTATATGCCACCTACAGGAAGCAGAACAGACAGTTCTCACAAATGCCGTTTTATGTGGTAGGAAATGCAAATTGTGCAATTAAACCTGCCACTCCATAAACCTTCCAGCTCCCATAAAGGTGAGCAGGGAAATAAAAATAATTCCAATAGGATTCTTCAAAGGTTCAGGTTGTCTGAGTTACACAGAGAGACCTTTTAAGAAACCGAGAAAACAAGACAAAGATATGATTGTAACGATGATTACTAACTATCCACCTAAATAAGAACCACACTAATCCAACCAAGCTTGCTTACTGGTTTTGACCATAAATATGACTTTATTATTTCATTCACAAATAACCTGTAGAAATTTGGGACTTTCAAGATAAAAAGGGGAGGGGGCACTTTATTCGTACCCAGCACCAAGGATATGGAACCCACTAGATTCTAAACAAAACCACTCTCTTCCAGCCTTTGCTAGACCATTATGGTATCAACAAAAGAAAATTTGTAATGGGTAACCTGACTAAATAGTCATACATATGAAGCTGACTAGATGATCCAAAACATACATATATTTTTTACAAAATGTCTTACCTTATACCATAGTCATTTTTGGCTGATAATCTAAATTTACAACCCATTGCTGGTGACAGTTTGGTAATTTTAAATTGCTTCTGTGAACCCATGTAACACTGACAGAATTCTCCATTTCCTTTCCCCTAGGAGAAATGGTTAGTTATTAGATTTCACATGCACCACTACAAGAGAGAAATCACATCAGTTCTTTTGTGATATTTATTAGCTGGTACAGTACATGTTAACAGCAGCCTAATGCACCTATCAAGGATCTTCAGAGAAGCCTGAGATATTGAGCATCTTCTGTATGGTTGACTTCAGGTGCAGAATTGTAAGAACAGAAGTAGCTCTCCAAGTGATCTTGCGTAGCTTCTTGAATTAAATATGGTGTTTCAGCCAATGCTAAATTCCTGGCCATAATAAGGGATGGACCTTACGATCTCCACGGGGACAGTAATTATGGTGATATGATGATCTCTGAGACAGACAAGTGGCCACTTTTCCTTAACTCAAGGAGAGTTCTTTGTGAACAGCTTTGAGGCCTGTCTCTAAATCTCCTCCTAGACAGTGCTACATATCTAAGAGGTTTGGTGCAGCAGCTGCTTACATTTAGCACTAAAGGGTTCTAGCAGAGGAAACAGCCCAACTGGACAACAGAGAGAGGAAAGTTGGGCCACTCAGGACAAAGGGAATTTTTAGAAATGTCACATTCCACTCTTGTACCTGGGGCTACTTCTGCTTCTCTGAAGAGCAATATCTGGATGTTAAGCTCAACTGTCTTATTATTTTTAATGGGTTTTAACTGAGTCGTCTACTCAACAAAATCATGCATTCTGAATAATGGTGTTTTTCTCTAGTCAGGACACTAGGACTATATCCTCAGTCTTAAAGTCATTAAGCTGATTACAACTTCTTAGATAATATAAAGTGATATAATGTAGTATAGAGCGCCATCTTTAGCTTGCTTTTTATCAGGAATGCCTTTAGTAATGGTATAAAATTACTGGAGAATGGATTAACTTTCTATTCCTGTTATACTTTATCAGATCCCTCCCATCATTTACCAAAAGGATGTTGTTTACCTTCTGTGATCTATTCAAAAGCAATTTTATTCTGAATTCTCTTAGCATTTCTGGACAAAACCTTCTCAGTTTATACTTTATCATTCATTTAATATACTGTTGAATCCCTGCATTATCAGAATTTCCACTCTCTCTGGCCCCTATAAATAATAGGATATGAGAGAATGGGAAAACTGACAAGAAAACATCACACTCATTTGTAGAGCCCAGTGTGCTCGTCATGGCTGCCAAAGACGTCCAGACCCTAATCCCCAGTCTGAGTCACCTTGTACAGTGACAGGACTGAAAAGCATGGATAGATTAAGGATCTTGAGAAAGAGGGCAACCTTGATTAACTGCATGAGCCACAAATGCAAGCACAAATTGCACCCTGAGAATGCAGGCAGGAGTAAGACATAAGGATATGGCAACAAGGCCCTAGGCCACAGAAACTGGCTAGGGCAAGAAACAACACTTTTGGCCCAGTGAAAACCATATCATATTTTTGGTTTTCAGAACTATAAAATGTTGTTTAAGTCATCTAGTTTATGATTATTTGCTATAAAGGCCACAGGAAACAAATAGTCTTGCTCAGGCCAAATGATGAAATTATAAAAAATGACTCCCTCTCTCTCTATCATGGGTGTGTGTGTGTGTGTGTGTGTGTGTGTGTGTGTGTGTGTGTGTGTGTGTGTGTGATTTCCCAATGCCTCATGCTTGCTAGGTTAAGTTCTACCATTGAGCTAAAATTCCCAAATCCTTAAGTTACAGTTTTAATGGTGTACTAGAACAGGGTCCATGAACAAAGCTATGTGAGATTTCTGAGTGCTTGTGAGAAAACTCAAGTGAATGAGACAAAAGTCTGTCTTGTGATCTCTGTTCCTTCATAACATGGGTTGTTCTTGGAATGTTCTTTTGTGCCCTTCGCAGGTGGAACAGACAGGATTATTTATTACACTGGCTCTTATTTGCTTATATGTCTCTATGGAAAACCATGCTTTGCCACATACAGCTTGTCCTTGTGTTTTTGTCATGTGTGGCTTGTTCTTGTGATTGCACACTTTACTAGGGTGATAAACTGCCACTCTGGATAATGCTGGCTATTGCATGAGACTTTAGTCCGTCTCATTTTTAGGCACCAGTCATGTCTCCAAATAGAGTGGTAAACAATGGTGGCTGCTTGAAAAAACACACAATTCTCCTTCATAGGGAAGATCAGTCTGAGGACATGTAACCACTCAATCTCCATATAAAATAGCTTCTTAAAAAGCATAATTAAAACAGATAAGAGCATTGTATTTAAAGATGCACCCGTAATGTAACCACTGAAAGGGTTCCACGCACTTACCTCATCCCACTCTAAAATAAAGCTTTGGATTTTAGAACCGTTGTCACTGGGTGCCTAAAACAACAGGAAAAAAGAAAAAGGAAAAGAAATTAGTCACCGTAATTAACAAGGAGGCTACTTCATGACACAGATGGTGCCTGTGACTTAGCCTTTACAAATGGCCATAGAGGGGCCGAGAGCTTCCCATTTTCCTCCAAGTTGGAGAAAACTATTATGTGTAACTCAATGAATTATCACATCACCTTTATGCTATACCTTTACTCAAATTATACACAGAGGAAATGAGGCCTTCAAAGTAATTCCACCTACTAAGACAACTGAGACCAGAGGATAACAAGATTTTAAAACAAAGTAGAGGTACTGGGAATGGAAGTCAGTTGTAGTGTTTCCCTAACATATGGAAGGCTCTTCCACCAATCTTCAAATCCCAGTAAGGGAAGGGCATCTACTAGTCAGTTTAGACTGTTAATACGGTTCAGTTATCCTACAGAGAACCAATTCAGGAGACCCCCTGCATCAGATTGGCTTGTAGATATATCCTTGAGGCATTTTCTTGAATGCTAGTTGATGTGGAGGGCCCAACCCACTGTGGTGATCCCATCCCAGGGCAGGAGGGACTGAGAGCAAGCCTTAAGGGTTCCTCCATGACTTATGCCCTGACTTCCTTCCATGGTAAGAGTGGAACCTGGAATGAAGTAAGCTCCCACAAGCTGGTTTTGGTCAGTGAATACCTAAGCAGCAAATGACAATTTTAGTGTACAATGAGAACCAGTTACTTAACTGAACCTCTTTTGATCTCCAAAAACAACTGACATTTAACACAAGGCAGGGAAAGGAAAAAAGAAGAAATGTATAGTTAGAAATACCCTACAGAACATTCTCACCTTCCACTGCAAGGTGAGCGAGTTTTTGGTCCGATTGGCTATCCTCGGTGAATTGGGTGTATCAGGCTCACAGCTCAGAGTAGTGAAGCTCTCAGCCTCTGAGGGGATTCCCTTTATTGAATTGGACTCTGCCAGCACTCTACACGATAAATAGTTTTATCCATTTTACTCTCAACAGTTATCAGCTTTATGTATATGCAATCATTAAAGAGCATTTCAAATATTCTACCAAGACAATGAAAGTATTACTAGAAGTAAAGAGTGTCCCTTAAAAATAGTATAAACCAGTGTTTTATTTTACTCCGTTAAAGATACTTTAAGATTGTGACAAGATTATCTCTCTCTCTCTGTCTCTCTCTCTCCACACACACACACATCTCAAAGTAATAATTTTCCAAATATTCTTAATATGCTGATACTTCTATGTTTATTTGATTTTATTTCATTTAAAAAATATTGACTATAACCCACACAATTCATGATTCAATAATGGTATCAATCTAGCTTAAAATATATTACGTTGGACAATGTTTTTAGTGGAAGTACAGAAAACATACAGTGTTAACGTATAAAAGGAATATTCCTACCTATAAATGTTCTTTTAAAAAAAATAGGACAACTCCAATTGGGCCCCTGATGGGGAAGTCAGAGTTAAAAACTTAGGGATATATACCAGAAAACCATAAGGCATTATCTGAATTGCTCCCAGCAAATGCTGTGAAATATTGAGTCTTACTATCCTATGCTCTTTCCAAGACATGATGCAGATTAATATACACAAAAGTAAACAAGTACTGTTTATGATTCTGTGTATAAACACCTCAGAAGCTAGGTTAAGTGTGCAATTTTAAAGCAAATACTGCAGCCATCACCTACAGTGCCCTTCTAACCCTTTGTCCCACAGACGGGGTAATTAACACCCCTCTTCCTTTACTGTAACATTTAAACTTGAATTAAATGTTTAAATGTTTTTGGATTATTTTGAGAAATAATAATTATTCAAATAGGAATACTGAAGTCACATTTTTAGTTTAACATATTTTAGGTTTTAAAGGAAACCACTCATGAGAACAACAAAAGCAAAGCTTAACCCTCTGTTGTGTCCACCAGGAAGACAGTCCTTACTTTGCATGGTAATCTGTGGCTGGTTTCAGGTCATTCAAAGTGACACTCATTTCTTCTCCTCTGGGGTAGGGGGAAAAGAATATAACAGCATAGTTAGAAACACGCCCTGTATCAGCCTCCATTAACCCATGTAAAAGGGAAGAGCAGGACGGAAAACACCTACACATAAACACTTCTGTATTTCCCTTCCTTCCCAGTGCTCGACACCAGGATTTCGTAACTGCAGAGCTCTGGTACAGTTGTCTCATTCCCTTCGCCATTAATGAGGTTGGAAGGGGGTGACCAGGTAAGCAGAACCGTCCTTGCTTGAATGTCTGAGGCCTGTAGAACGAAATACCAACAGGTCAAAGCGCTCTGAAGCAAATGTGTGCATGGTGAGCAATGGACTGTGTGATGGATCCAGAACCACATACAACGTAGCAGCAGTCCTAATCTACACAAAACAGCCCACGGCAGGACACCGCATGTGCAGATGAGAAGACTATGTGGCCTATTCACCTGGACAGTGACAAAAGGAAAAGATAGGAGAATGGTAATTTTCAAACTAAGGTGAAAGCTCATTTCTCAACTTACTAAATAACACAAAAGAAACGTAATGAATTAAGAGAAAAATGAAGGAAGGGTGTGAATGTTGCAAAGAAACAATCATAAATGCACCCCATGTTAAAGAGTGTAGGTGTGCGCTATTCCAGAGGCAGCCATTAGGACATGGCTTTAACTATTAGACAGACAGTAAAAAGCTAAGGATTAGGATGTTGAGAGACAGAGAAATGGGCATCTAGAAGAGAATGTGAGCTGTTACTTGCTCAGGGTCAACTGAAGAAACGTATGATTACTTTTTTTTTTGGGTCAGGTCTCACAACATAGGGCAGGCTAAATGAAAACTTGAGTTCCTCCTGCCTCAGCTTCCTGAGTCCTGGGATTATAAACCTATATATCACTATTCCAGGCTATATCTACTTTTGGATTTAAGAATTCCATTTTAGTTTTTTTTTTTTCCCTCTCTTAGGATACCATCCTACAAACTGTAAAAGTGTACAAGGACACCCACTTCAAGGTGTCCACTGCAGCATGACTGGTGGCAAAAATGTGGAAACAGGGTGCTGACCTCTGACACTGGAACAGCTTCTTGACACATTCCCTTAGGTGTTTACAGCAGAGTGAGAAAGGACTGTGTGTCCTGAAAAAAAGGCTTCACTGATATACCGGTGATATCTAAGAGTAGGGAAAAGGAGAGCTGGGTCACAGTTTACAACAGTTTGTTCAATAGTTTTTCTTTTTAAATGCTTGAAGATGCCTGAAATGTCCTGTTACAAGTAATTCACTGTTGCTTTTTGAGGTTTTTTGTTTTTGTTTTTGTTTTATACATGTGTGGTGAGACTTAAGAGAAGAGAAACAAGGTTGTAATTGTTTTCTACATATCTGTTCTTACTGAAAAATTCTGTGTACATGTTCCTTTTATAGTAAGAGCCTAATAAAGAGGGAAAATGGTATAGGGATTAGATTACAATTTAAAGATTATCTTAGAGATTGAGCTGGTGAGATGGGTCCAAGGGTAATGATGCTTGTTATAAATTCTTTGTGACCTGATTTTGGTTCCCAGAGCCTACATAAAGGTTCAAGGAAAGGACTGATTTCACCAATTGTTTTCTGACTTCCAAATGAATGTGCCATGGCACAAACGTTCAAGAGTATACACGGTAAATACAATTTAAAAGATCATATATATTCCTTTCTAAGGATTTACTTGCTTGTATTTTATGTGCATTGGGGTTTTGCCTGCAAGTATGTCCACATGAGGGAGTTGGATCCCCTGGAACAGAGTTACAGACAGTTGTGAGCTGCCATGTGGGTGCTTGGGAATTGAACCTGGCTCCTCTAGAAGAGCAGCCAGTGCTCCTAATTGATAAGCCACCACTCCAGCCCCAATCATATATATTCTTAACTAGGGTTTCCAAATGGAAAATTAAAACACACCACTAGCACCTAAGATAATGGTTACCCCGCTTTAAACTGAGCAAGACAAAGAACTTTTTCAATGTTCTCAAAGTCTGAGTAATTTTAAAATTGTATATATTCTACTTTTGTTAAGTCATGGAAAAAATAAGAGTTTACTTACTGTAATACTGCCATAAATTTTTGGTACTATAATTCATTTACAATGAACTTAAAATGATTCTACATTAAAAAGTGTTTAGCTAGCTATTAGCTGGTTGATGGGGCAGGCTTTTGTCTTTTACAGCATAAACACACTGCTACCATAACGTAGGTGTCTTGACTTCCCAGAGTGACAACAGCTGTGTTAAAGTCTGACGGTGTGACAGGATTCAGAAGGTGGGCCACTCAGCAGCACTAACTGGCCTGTACTTATGAAGTCCATCTATCCCACCTGGCGGTGACTTACTGTATTTCCTAAGTACAGGCAGCAGCAATGCTGTAAGCAGGGGTAACATGAAGCTCGGATGGAACCTGCTTAGCCAATAACAAATTCTCTGAATCTGTTGGGGTTTACTGTTACCTTGGAATAAAATGACATTTACAGAAAGTTGGGATTCTTTCACTGGATTCTCCTATGGTTAAGATGTTATACAGCCATGCACTTAATATCACACCAAGAAATTAACCCTGCTAACTACTGACACCGAAATACTTCGTCTAAAGGAGAAGCTGAGTCCTGTTCATAAGTTATCACCTACAGACTTTTCCAGGACGCCATGCGCAGGAAATACAGTTAGGAGAAATTTAAAGCAGCGTATTGTTACAGAAAAATGTTTGATCTCTACTTCTACTAAAAAGCTAACTCTGTTCTTATGTGTACATCTATATTAAGGCATATACAAAATACTTTAAAATGACTTTTGGAAAATCTTCTTGAGAAATTAATTTCAAAGAGAATTTTCTTTGCTTTTGTATCTTCAGATAGTCTTGTCTCAAGGTATCCGGGTGGCCTCGAACTCAAGATCGCCCTACTTCAGACTTTTAGGTACTGGGACTATAGGCATGAACCAGACCTAGAGCTTAAACCAATGATTCTCAACCTGTGAGTCATGACCCCTTGGGAGCAAACAACTCTTTCACAGTTGTCACATTTTAGATATCCTGCATATCAGACACTTACATTATGATTCATAATGGTAGCAAAATTACAGTTATGAAAAGTAGCAATGAAATAAATTTAGGGTTGGGGTCATCATGACCCCAACTGTATTAAAGGGTCACAACATCAGGAAGGGGCTTAAACCACTGGCTTGAACAGATTTTACAGGATTTGGAATGGGATATAACTTGCTAAGAAAGAAGGTGATTAATCTGGGAATTTCTCATCTCCTAAGCTTATACAGAAAGCTAACTTTTAAGGAAAACCTGGTCATTCCACTGTCCTAAGAGCCAGAAGGAAGGGGAGATAAAGGACCTCTGCAACAGTCACAGGAGACAGGGAGGGAGCCAAGCTCTGAATGACAAGGGTATCAGCAGCATTGCCAATTACTGCCTGGCTGACAACAAGAAAGAATGCAGCAGCAGCTTTCTAAAGAAAGGTGTTTTGTGTTGGTGCTGTCGGGGGATTGTAAAAGCTTGTATGTTAGAAGCAGAAGTGGACCCACACAAAACTACTCCAAAGTTCTTGTGTGAGGAAGGAGTAATAATTTTGTGTGCCAGGGATTGCACAGATTCGTGGGTCTCAGAAAAGTCATGGTGCTTGGCTGCAGGAGAACTGAAGGTAAAGATGGACTGAAAGATGACCCTGACACCGCTGCCTAGGGAAACTCAGTTGTCACTGATGTGCTGAAAAGCACAAAGGGGATTTCATTCAATTTCTTGTTCATTTTAAATGAACAGAGGAGAAATCTTGAGAACAAGGTACACAATTTTACTAAAGAGTTGCTGGCACAGCATCCCATTTGGGTATTCTTTAGGATGTCTCGGCGGCCATGGTTCTGGAGTGGAGACAACGCAATGCTGATTTAGAAACCAGCTGGGATTGTTCCTCTTGTATGCTACTTCAGAAGACAACATGCTTTCACAACCAGCTCATTTGCTCATGGCTGCCCTCTGAAGCAGGGAAAACAGGCACAGTGGTCCCTTCACAGGAAGAACAGTTAGAAGGACCAAGAGACTCAAGGACACTCAAGTGAGCAGTGTATGAGTAATCAGAACTGAACCCAACCCTGAGCAGCAGCTGGGAACTGACACAGCTGTCTACGGATAGGTCTAAAAACTGATGGCCAAAAAGAAAATGAAACAGGGTTAGAAGTCATTGGCTTACTATGGTATGTTTGAATCTGTGAGGCGGGTTGTTGTGCGTGTCAGTTTACATTACAGTAAAACTAAACAGGAAGTGAACTTGGAAAGCAACTCAGAATGACAGTAATGCCATGAACTGTGATAAAGACTGGAAAGGCAGACATGTTAATATTTCTTGGATTTTTCAGAAATGCTAAAGCAAAAGAAACAGCAACACTCAATCCTGAGGCTGCCCCTGTAGTGTGCTAACAATCCTAGGATTCAGGAGTCCAGGGCAGGAGGTCTATAAGCTTGAGGACAGCCAGGACCACACTGCAAGACTTCTTAGCAAACAAACACAGCACACACAAAGTGAGAAAGGAACTTGAGAGCTTGGTCTAAGGAACTGGGAGTCACACCATTCTAGAATTCATTAGAGCAGAGAATGGAGAATGCTTCTGAGGAAAGACATAAAAAGAGCAAATGGCAAGCATGTTTAGTTACGGGCATGACTGAAACAGAGATGCTAGTTTCAAAACTCAAGAGTAATTTCAGTAATTTCAAAGATCCCAAATAAAAAAGGCAAAACCATGCCAGCATGACCAATTCAACACACACGAGGATACAGCATCCTGCTGTTCTACCTTATGGAAGAAATGGCTTCAGAAAGGCTTAGGAACATTCCAGGCCACTCAAGCCTGAACACAAAGCTCACTCCGAAGTAAGATGCACACCGACTTTCTTTCCTCCCATGTACAGCCGAGTTATGCAAGTGAGCATCTAGTCTTTCTATGTGCGCACAGATGTACACTGTAATTTGTACCGTGTCCAGTGACTTACAAGCAATGGTTTGCAACACCATTCCAGACCCTCCACTCCATCCACAACTCCTACCAGTTACTTTTCCTTTGGGAGAAAATTCCCTACAGTCCTTGCCAAGGTTTAGTTCCTCTATCAAACACGTGGGTAGCATTCATTCTCTTTGTTCTTGTAGCTCACACTTAACAATTAAAAATGGTTTAAATATTTTTATTTTATGTGTATGGGTGTTTTGTCTGTCTGCACCACATGTGCCTTGTACCTGCAAAGGCCAAAAGTAAGTGTTAGGTTCCTGGAACTGGAGTTATAGATGGTTGTGAGCTGCCATGTGGGTGCTGGGAATTGCACCCCTGTCCTCTCCAAGAGTAACAACAGCTGCTCTCTTCCTCTGAGCCACCTCTTTGACCCCCACACTTAGTAAGTTTACATTTGCCACACAAAGATGATTCTATTAAAGGAAGCTGAAGGGACAGAGGCCACACTTTCCAGTCTATTTCCAATTCCACACAGCAAATAGCATTTTGTAGAGGGTCAAATATTTATGGAGTGAATAAATACATTTAATTTGGTGACCTCAATAAAGCAGAGTGTGCAAAACCACACACTAAAAACCCTGGCCTGTACTTTACAACGCGGAAAATTCATCAAAGAGGCATATCATTCAACTATTAAATATAAAATCAAATAACACAGTGAAGTTACCTATTTTTATGTTATTAAATAGGGCTCAATATTTTACTAAATTATCTCTCTTTATGCCAGGTAAACAATCTAAGATGATTGTTTTAAAACTTCACTTTCTGTAACCACTTTTAACATTATCTAAGAAAACCAGCAGTAGCTGTTATGTTACCCTAACACAAAACTTACCAGGGCCACTAACTTCCTTTTTTGTTTTGTTTTATGCAGAGTTTACAACAGTAAGAGGTGGAGGTTTGACACAGCAACCACTGGCACCTATTTGGTATAGGGCACTCTCCGGTACACATCATGTTTTGTGCATCCTCAGTGCACACGGTTTGCACACAACCACTGCTGCTCAGCACTACAGCATCTCAGGAGGTTGATGCAGGAAGAAAGCAACTCAACAATGCCAAATGCTACTGAAAGCCCATCCCTTCCATGAGTGGTGTGACACAGTGACAGCATTTAAAGTTAGACAAGGACTCTGGAGCACCCACAGTTCTCCTTGTGAACACACTGCACAGGTTTTCTAGAATTAAACATGTAACCTATGAGCTACTTTGAGTTTTAAAGTTGAAGTATTTCATGCAGCCAGTAAACTCACTAAACTTTCTATTCTAACACATGCTATAACAAAATACAGTGCTTTTCTTTATTCAACTACCTTTTGTAGTTGAACGGCCAAACCACCCAAGAGGGGTCATGTAGGACTCGGGATGGATAGGGCCTACTGTAAGCCTTTGCATCACTTCATACACATAAGCTCCTGCACAACCCAAAACTCTAGGAAACCATTCCACAAACATGTGAGCACTGTCACAGTATGATGGCTTGGCTGTAAGTCTGAACTTTCTTTTCAAGTGAACCCAATGAAAAGCACTATGACAGAGCTCTGGACACTGCCTGGACTCCAAACCTGGCTCTTATTACCATTTACTCACTTGCTTCAGTTCCTATCTGTGAAGTGGGGAAAACAGTACATCATGAGCTTTTATAAGAATTAAATAGCACATGTGCATCTGAAATACACCAGCAAATGCTAGCTACTGTTACTATGAAATAAAACTTTACATTTCCATTCATTCTTCTACAGGCTCCATTCCTAAGAGAAGTCAGAATGAGAAAATCGAGCAGTCACAGAGCTTACGATGAAGAGGAAGAAAAGGACCACACAGAAAAGTATTGTGACATTCTGATGGTTGCACTACTTCACAGAAAGTTTTTTCTAAAACTATTTTATTGATTTATTTATAATTATGATGCCCATTTTTTGTCAAAAGTACTTTTGCCTGCTTTTTCCTTCGATTTTGTTGAGTATAAAAATTATTTTTGCATTTTTATTCCACTTTCTGTGAATATTACCGTTGCAGTGGACATTTTTGTTAGTGTAGTTTTAAAAAAGGAAATGTATACACTTCTTTGATTCTTTTAATTATCAATGAGGAACTTCCTATGCTTAACTTCACTCAGTATGAATACTACCTTTTATCATAGCCAATGTACATGTTTCTCCCAGTAGCCTTTATATAAGTCATTGGGACGCATATAAAACATTTTCTGGCCTTTTGTGTTCTCATACATATTTTTCTAACTTACTTGGTTGTACTCAGTGTTATGGGGACCTGGGAAATACTCATGTTCCCTTTGTCTACGTCACGCGTCGCTGAGGAAGGGGCCCTTTTCTAGGCCACTCATGCAATGATAGGCTACAATTTGCCTCACATTTCTATGAAGTTAAAATAAAAGTTTGAATGAAAATGACAGAATTCTACACGGTTATACTAAACAGCAAGAAAAACACATGGGATACTTACCACTGGTTTGGCAATGTTGGAAAGAAATGCTTCAAATGCTTTAGTCTCTTCATCTTTTTCTTTAAGAAAGTAAAAAAAGGAAAAAAAAAAAAAAACTTAAATGAAATTTCTCTTTCCTCTAGTTGTTTTCTAGTTTTTAATCCTTATTCACACACAGGAATCTGTAGCCTTCACCACTCATCTCATTCAATTTCTATTTTAACTGTTCCTACCACTTACAGTACCTCATGCACATGTGCTGTAAACATGTACATATGTGTGTACTTGTGCTGTATGCATGGAAGTATGTATGTGTGTATGTGTGCTGTATGTATGTGTGCTGTATGTATGTGTGCTGTACGCATGTATGTGTATATGTGTTCTACATGAATGTAAGTATAAGTGTGCTGTATGCATGTGTATGTGTACTGTATGCATGTGTATGTGTGCTGTATGCATGTATGTATGTATGTGTGCTGCTGTATGCATATAAGTGTACATGTACCCACTTGGAGTGTACCCTCACTCTTGATGGTAAAACCCCCTGCCCTCTGGAATGTTTCTGTTTGCCATGCTCATACCATTGTTTTCATTTTTCTTTTTTGGTCTCAGTGTGTAGTCTAAAATGGCCCAGAAATTTCAACTCTCCTGCCTCAGCCTCCCAAGTGCTGCGATTACAGGCACGCACCACTACACCTGGGTTTAATTCGTGAACTAAGTATTCAACCATGGTTTCCCAGATAGATGCAATCTGCTGTAATTCATAGCAACCGCCAACATAAACAAAATGTTAGCGCAACTCTTTTGAGACATCAGTGCAGAAAAGAATATTCAGACAGTCTCAAAAACTGGAGGACAGCTTAGTAAATGTTAACACACAAACCATGAAGCCACTAAAGCATTGTTTAATTGTGAGGAATGAAAAGGTTAAGGAAGATGACACAATAATTTTGATTTTGCTCCCAAAGACGGAAGCATTCTAGTTGCTATCACATTTATCAGTTGCATCATTTGATAATTCAACACGGTAATGATAAGCAGTATCACTTTAGATAAATACATTCAAGGACTGAGAGAACTATGGTGTTAGTTTTTGAGAAAAGGCATGTTAGTCTGCCTCACTGGCATAGTTGATGAAACTTAAAATACAGTATGGTCTACCTTTAGAAGTTAAAACAGGTAACAGTATCAAGGAAATCTATGGAAATTAAGATAGGCATCAGTGAGAGGCTTAGCATTATAATCAAAGTACCTGGAAGACAGGCTACTGTTAACCTAGCTCTATTTACCTTATAGAGATCTGACTCTAATATATATTAAAAGGTAGTGTTCAGAGTTCATATGGTAACTGTCACATGTTAGGGGAAGGGCCCAAAGAAACAATAAACTTCTATAGCAAAGGGAGAGAGATTATTCTAACTATGGAACATGCAGAGAGGATTGGTTAATGACATACTAGTTATCATGTATTCATATACAAAGAGGCTGAGGAAATAAAGCCTTGGGAAAAGGCAAGACAGCCTTATCAAGGGACCAAGGACAGAAAAAAATGGAATCCTGGTTAATCTGTTTTCCTGTCAGATGACTTTTCAACTAGTAACATTAATGATAAAGTGAAATTACTTGAGACTTCCTGAACATGAAAGCAGATGTCTATAGCAATCATTTAAGATTCTAAAACATTTCTCACAGTTAGGGAAGTGCTAGGCTAAGAATTTATGTGGTTCCAGAATGAGACAGCTGAAAGGTAAGGTATAGCTTTAACAGTTTAAATGATGAAAAGTACCAGAGATGCACCAAGAGTACCTTCTATTTCTGCATCTACTTGTGTACCACCTCTTCCTCGACCCGATTTGTTTCTTGCTGATCCTGTGTTCACACCACTGGCACTCTGTCCTTTTATGAGTCCATTGTGTTCGCTTATGGGAGAAGGGCACTTCTGGGGTGAGGGTGGAGGGCTGCTCATTTTATCCTTCTGTGTTCCCTGACGATCTTTCAATTTTTTCTGCAAGCGCTCATATGTTTTACTAGATCTTTCATCTCTGAAGTTGGACCTGCCATGTGTAGAGTGGGCATCTAGAAGAAGCAAAACACAAGTGTTAAAAATATCACTTTCTCTAAATGAATCTATGTCCCAATACAAGTACAGATGGTAAGCCTATCATATCATATACAATTTATTATAAAATATTATGAGTGGTGATTTTGCAAAACAAAGCCATTTCTATGTCTCCACTAACAGAATCAAGCTTCCTGACATGGTTACAACTCTATGTACATTAACATGAACATTTCTTTACCATTTTCCCAACTATCACTCTGCAGAGAAACAGCATGGTGATCAGCTTGCCAATGAAGGAAGCGATCAGGCCCACTTGGTCACAACTCTTCTTTCACTGTCTGTAAGCTATTACTTTCCAACCTTCCTTTAACCTCAGTCATATAAAAAAAAGGGAAGACACATCACCATTCCAAGTTCCCTTATGATTCCCTTCTAAAAAAGATTATCTACTAAAAAAGTTGTTGCAGTTAGAAAACAGAAACTAGATGGACTGTTAAATTCATTATTTAAATTTTATATTTGAAATACATACTGAGGAAAATATTTAAGAGAAAAGTCTAACAAGTCCTACAGTAAAGAAAAGGCTTAATTTAGCTGTACTTTATGAAAATTGAAATGAATATAAGGATATACAGAATAAAATTAAGATAATAAAATCAGGAGTTTGGATATCTACACATAAAAGAATAAATGTAGGTCTTCATAGTATACTACATATGAATGAAACACCTCAAGGTGTAGCTGAAAATACAAAACTCTCAGAAAGAAACAAAGGAGTGTATCTGCATGACCTTGGACTTGGTAGTACCTTTTGTATAAGACATGAAAAGCACAAAGCAAAACAGACAGGACCTGCTCAAAATTAGGGCCTTTTCTTTACCAAGGGATACCACCAGTAAAGGGAAAATGCAGTATGGGGGAAATACCTGCAAACCATGGATTTGATGAAGGACTTGTGTCCAGACTATACAAGACATACAATATTAGAATAAAATGCCAACCCTATTAAAGAATGAATATGCAAATGGTCAATATGCATCAACAAAATTAGGGAAAAGATCAAAACAAAAAATGGGATAAAATAGGCATCCTGGTGGCTATAAACAATAGCAGATGTGGAAAAACTGGGACCCTCATATACTGCTGTTAGGGATAGTAAATGGTAGGATCAGTGAACAAACAGCCTGGCAGTTATTATTCACACATACCCAGGCCATACTCACACATGCCCCGGCCCTTCTACTCCGAAGCATGAAATGTGACAACATAAACATTTGTATATGATGTTCTTAAAAGCATCACTCATAGACAGGCAGTGAAGGTGTCAACTGTCTGGTGCCCGCCAGATTTCCCTCATCTTCACTATCCAGGCAAGCTTTCCAGCACTGCCCCCATGCAGCCTGCAGCAATGAGCAGGGCCTGTTCTGCTCTCAGGTCCTCAGATCAGGATCACTCATAGTCACATCACCAGGGCCAGAGCTACTATTTTGCCCAGACAGGGTGCAGGGCCCTCTCTTCTGATTGCTGTAAGGGGAATATGGGGAGAGGGTGTCAGGAGCTCCTCTCCCATGCCCTCAGGGCTGGCTCACCTATACCCTTGCCCCTCAAAACAGGATTAGCTCTAGTGTTTTGCCCAGACAGGGAGCAGATGGCACTCTCTCTCATACTGCAGAACATGAGGGTCAGGGCTAGTTCTCCCCCTACTGTGACCCCAGGGCCAGCTCTCTCACCTGCAGCAGGACTAATGGGTGAGGAGGGGAGGACATCTTTCCTTTCTCTCACCCATGCTACCACATGGCAGATGGGAGGAGGTCAGCTCACCAATACCCAGGCCCAGAACCAGGGCTATGAGCTGTCCCACCCCAACGTCCCCCAGATCTATGAACTGTTGGAACATGTAAAGGGGACAAACCTACAGACCCAAAACAGCAGGATCTCCATGACACAGGACAGCAACAACATATCCAAGAGGAGTCCCAGTGAGAGCCATTATCAATGGTGTAACAGAAACCAGAGGCCTTGAGCTAGACCAATTGCTCTTGGCAATGCCTACTTACAAGTAAATATGAATGGACTAAAAGGGTAGACTGTGTGACTCAACAGGACACACTAGAGCCTCAGTGATAAGATTCATTTTTTGTTTGTTTCCTTTGATTTGGGGTTTTTCTTTTAAATTTGAGTTTAATTTTGGGGGGAGGTTGCAAGGGTAGAGGGCAGATGACAGGGGATAGGGAAATAAGTGGATCAGAATGCGTGATGTGAAATCCACAAAGAATAATTGCAAAATAAATAAATATCTTAAATTCAAGCGCATACATTTTTCTGAATTCTTAAATGAGTAATACTATTTATAACATAATGTTGCATGCATACACTACAAGTATAAAATTCAAGCACAAAGTAGATGAAATGCATGTCACAACATAGATGAACCTTAAGTTAAAAACCTAGGCATAAAAGATCACATCTCACATGGACACTTTAAATGCTGGAAATACAAGGAAATTCACTGCTATACATGTGTCAATGAGATGCAAAGTCTGGAACAAGCAACAACAGAGATAGAAAGTAGATTAAAAGTTGGGGCAAAAGAAGGAATCAGGACAGACTACTGACAGGTTAAGGTTTCTTCTGGAGATGGTAGAAATGGCTTAGAATTACATGTCCCTAAGCAGAAATCAAAATTGCTGCAAGGTCTGGAATTCTGAGTGCTAATATGACACAAATAGGAAACTCCACACAAACAGTGAGGGGCTGTGCAAAATCACTACATAGTATATGAAAATTATCAACAGGGAATGTGTATAAATGAAGTCTGTGTTGCAATTCCTTAGATTTCACCATTTCTAAGATAACTTGTGTGTAAGAGTACATGTGCATGTACAACATTTCAGGTAAAGGATAATCTGTAGAGAAAATATAAAAAATTTATTCCACTCTTTGTACAAAATAGTAAACAAATCCACTGAAACCTAAGAACCATAATTAGTCCCCATTTCTAAAATGTACTTTGGTAACTCAGATGCATTTATAATTCATCTATTATTCAAGATAAAATAACAAGAGCAACCATAGAGAAAATAAAAGAGTATGTTGTAACAGAGTAGATCTGAGAGAATGAAAACCCCAGTAGCTAACTAACATGACCTTGTAAACACCAACCGTCCTGAAGCTCAGCTCCTTCTTCTGTATTTTGGGAGTATTTCTGAGGATGACATGAGCTAATGCATTCATAAGAACAGTATACAGTAAAGTTCAAGTTCTGTAATGGTATGGCTAACAATGAAGTGCTTCATTAGACCCCACTCTGGGAACCTACAGCATGTGAATGGATAGGAAGCACTTACCGACTAGGAAACCAGCACTCCCAGCTCCTCAGACCTAGTGTCACATCCCCTAACAATAAGCTCAATCAAATGTGATACAATTTGTCCTCGGCTACCCCTTAACTGGTGTGTGCATGCATGCCTTCTATTTTCCTTTACATCACCGTGAATTATAACTGCACATCATTTAGAGACTGTGCTGCACAGTCTTTGTTTAAATTGTGGTTAATGTGAGATATGCTCTGGCAACAGGAAGGAGTATCAGAAAGCCAGAAAGACATGCTACAAGTATATAGGCATTGTTTAAAGATATAGCAAAGGATAGGATTATTTCTCTCTCCTCTCTCTCCTCTCTCTCTCTCTCTTTCTCTCTCTCTCTCTCTCTCTCTCTCTCTGTGTGTGTGTGTGTGTGTGTGTGTGTGTGTGTGTGTGTGTGTGCTAGTCTTTTCTTTTCAGGAATTTATTAACTGAAGGCAGAGGTTGTAGCTCACTTAGGGTATCTCAATCCCTCATAGAACCCAGCAACTTTTTGTAGTGGCACAATAGCCTTTAAGGTTAAAACAAACAAACAAAACAGCAGTTATTTCTTGCTTAAAAACTTTTTCAGAGGAGACCTGTTGTCTAATATGACTCCCACTAAATACTCAGTCTGATGTAAGATAGTGCATCTCTGATTTTGTTTACTTTCTTGAATCTGTTTACTTCCAAGAAACCTGTTGCATCATAAAGAAAAAGTTGCTTAACAGTGCTTGCATAACAAAAAACCACTCTGCTATCATTACCATGTGTTATTTCCTATATATGACATAAAGAGAGCATCTTTTATATCCAAGTAAGGGAGAGGCAACTCAACAAGGCAGGGGCGTTTTGAGATCTCTTACCTACATCTGCATATACTTGTGAAGACTGATACTGTGGCATATACTGTGTTGCCATATCACCAGCTCCCGTCACTGGGGAGTACATATGGCGCGGTGGAGGGGGCATCATGGTTGGGACAGGAATGAAACCTGGCAGAGGAGGATGTGGGGAGCGGTGGATAACTGTGTGGCCACCAGGATGAAACTCTGGTGACTGCGGAACCACAACAACTCTTCGAACACCATTGTCCTCAATAACCTACAAAATGAACATCAGGTTACAAGTCTCTTCTGAAAGAAAAAGCAACTCTTGAAGTGTTGCTACTTATTAGGATTTAAAAGAGCGATAGTCATCATGAAAAAAATTTACTCAACACATTAAGTACCAAATCAGTAATGAACAAAGTAGTCCTTCTATATAATACAAATTTACCTAATGTAGACCTTAAAATGCTGATGGGAGTAGCTACATGATGAATGAACCTGTGTTATATGCATTAACTGGTTTGGGCATAATAGGGTCAGGAATTTCCTTTTCTATATCATGACTGAGGGTGGTTCAAATACCAGTTGTAGAAGGACCAACCAAAGAGCACTAGATACCTTAGGTCCCAGTTAAGTAAAGCATCTGTGACTTTGGAACTTAAAAATTATACTTTCCTTTTTTGGAACCCAGCATGGTATAGTGCTGCTATTTGAAATCCAAGTAACAGAGGATGGGGCAAAAGGATAACACAGTAAAATCCTGTCTGAAGAAATCACAATCAAACAACAAAATGCCCTCTATCCCACACTGTCACATCCCAAAGGATTACAACTCTGGGAATCAATTTTTAAGAAAATAATAAATTCCCTGGGTCTCACAGGATCTTTAAAGACAAACAAGAATGTCTAAAAGGTATAGGATTTTATCTTAAAATTAGGACCTGCTCCCTCCTGCAAATACCCAGCATTTCAGGAAAACGGAAAATTTAGTATACCAAAGTACTAATTTAAAGGCAGATCCACTTATATTTAAGGACAGCAACTTTTGTACCAAAGTATTTGTTTGGTAGATACAGCATTTATTTGGGTCCAGATCAACCAATGTTTCAGGAACTTATTGGGGTTGAAGACTTATCTATCGAAGTGTGAAGTGATTTGTCTACCACACTGGGCTGGAATATCAAATGAATTCATAAACTGAAGATTTGTTTTATGAATATGAGTGCTCTATCTGCATGTATGCCTTTATGCCAGAAGAGGACATCAGATCCCACTAAAGACAGTTGTGAGATACCATGTGGTTACTGGGAATCAAACTCAGGGCTTCTGGAAGGGCAGCCAGTACTTTTAATCACTGAGCCATCTCTGCAATTTCTTTCTTTCTTTTCCTTCCTTCCTTCCTTCCTTCCTTCCTTCCTTCCTTCCTTCCTTCCTTTAATGACAGGGTTTCTGGGGTTTCTCTGTGTAGTCCTGGCTGTCTTCAAACTCATAGAAATCTACCTGCCTCTGCCACTATAGTGCTGGGATTAAAGGTGTGAGCTACCGCCACTGGCTGAATACATGTTATTTCCATGTCCTGCTGAGTCTGCACCAATATCCTGTGTCCAATGAAATGAATGCCTTGAATCTGCCTTTTTTCAATTCAACTCCTTTCTGAATTGAAGTCTAACAAATGTTCATCATGCACAGCAAAGAGGAACACTGAGCTGTTTCTGGAACCCGACTAGAAGGGAGTCTAGAGGGTGTATAGCTTTTCAGCCTTAAACCTAGAAGGCACTTTAGAGAGCTTGAAAGACATTCCGAGTGAACTGAACCCCAATATTGGCCACAAAGCGCTTTCACCTTCATCATTCTCTGAGTTGTAATTCCTAGAAGACAACTAGCTCTGAGAGGATTTGTAGTTCTCAGTATTCTTCTAATTTCCTTTTCTTCCCTTCATGTGTTTGTGTGTTATGTATGTATGTATGCATGCATAATCACATGTGTGCATAGGTGGGGGGGTACATGTGTGTACATCCCCTGGACCAGAACCAAAAGAACATAGAGCCCTTCAGCATGTCAATGAGTGATTTAGGCAGCTATAACTTGAGAGCAAGGCCTGGAGACCTCAACACTGCCTCAAGTCTCCAGAGGCCTAGCTGCTAAGGAGTAATCAGTATTCAGACACTGAACTCACATCAGCCGGGACTCTGGCCATGAGCAGTACAGGAGAAGCAGTAGGCTAAGTTAGTCTGTTAATAAAAATTAATGTACAAATACGTATCATCACAGTGCAACTCCTTAAGCACTGACACTAGCCAACCTTAATCGGGGAAAAGCCCTATTCCCTCTATTGAAGACAGAAAGATTGTGTTCAGTATTTAACATTTTATTGTGGATATGTGAATCTGATTTGCTCTTTTTTTCTTTTTTAAGAAATGATATGATTAGAAATATAAACATTCATCCAACTAAAATTGTATTTCTTCTCTCCTCATCACCACTGGACTCTTAGGGTAACTTCCTCAAATCCTTGCTTCCTCCCCATGTTTGGTAACCAAGCTCCCCACCTTGAAGTTCTTAAATAATAGCACCTGTCAGCAAGTCAGCATCCCCTCCTTCCTCTCATCCTCATCTGAACCCCTGTCCATTCCCTTCTAGTTTTCCCAGACCCCTGCTTTTCCCATTTGGCTCTTTTCCAGGAGCAGCTAGGCTGTAGAAGCTTTGAAGAATGTAGTGATTTGCCACTGGCTGCTGACAAGATAAACTGAAATAGCAAGTGCTTGAAGGAGTAACTTGAAACAGACAATTAAGCTAACATGCCACTAAAACAAACAAAAAGCTTAGCAGTTAAGGGAGGCCTGCTTTATATCTCTGCTTAGCTTTGAGCATGGTCATCTTGCCTCTGCTTCTCAAGCCCTGAATTAGATATGAGCCACAATGTCTGGCTCAAGCAGACTGTGTACAAGTGGAGCAAGTGGCTGACATCAGAGGTCTTCCTTAGCGCACAGATGCTCACTCTATCAGAGGTCTTCCTTAGCGCACAGATGCTCACTCTATCAGAGGTCTTCCTTAGCGCACAGATGCTCACTCTATCAGAGGTCTTCCTTAGCGGACAGATACTCACTCTATCAGAGGTTTTCCTTAGCGGACAGATGCTCACTCTACTGACTAAGGCAAATCTCTCACTGAACCCTGTGCTCCCTGATTCTGAGGGTCTAGCTGCTCAGCTTGCACTGGGTATCATTCTCTGTCTTCTAAATGTTGGGATCACACCTCCCCTCTCCTTATTACTTTTATGTAGGTGTTAGTGACTTGAACTCTGGTCCTCAGGCTTGCCAGCAAGCACTCTGATCACTAAGCTATCTCCTAACCAGAAGAGAATTTGTGTTGGCACCCAGGAGTTCCATTCATGTAGTATATAAACTATTCAGAAAGTCATTAGCTTCTATCCTGTAAGGCAAAGTTCTTAAGGAGTCAGTGAACTGCCAGTAAAATGCAGTTCTTCTGTTCTTGTCACCATCTGTTTTCTATGAGTTATTCTGCTTTGCTAAACTTTTCAATTCTTTTACGTTATTTGCTATTGCTATCTTAACTTAGTTGGCAATATTTCTATCTCTAAGTTGTATGCCAGTCAATCTCTTGCAACTTTCCCTTTCTGTTAAGGAGTATTGATAGCTTATTATTAAAAAGGGGCAGGCTCCAGTAACAGCTACACTCATTAATGAGAAAGGTGTGTCGTTGGTCGTGGCTTACACACAATAAAGAGTCTTTTCCCAGATGCTGGTCTGGTCTGAGGCTTTCTTCCTGCTTTTTAAGGACAAACACTAGGAATCTCACAACTGAGGTTGCTCAGAGTGTAACATGCTAAAAGACCAGACAGTGGTTACTAATGTAGGTACCACTTTACTCCAGCCAAGCCAAACAATGTGCATTTTCCTATAGCCACGCACGTACTTCAATTCTCCCTCCTACTCCTGGCTTCTGGATTTGCTAGCACTATGCTCATGTGTCAGGTTTTGGACACCGTGTCAAGTGATTAGCTGTGAGTACAATGTAGATCTTACTAATGTTTTGTAGTACTAGAAATTATTCATCACAGAATAAGTGCATGTTAACAGGGACATAAGAACCTGAGAATTCAGTCTTACTAGATATGGCATTTCAAAGGGCTGAATTTTTGTTTTTGGATTACCTCACATACTTCAAACTGATAAATTTCCTAGAGACAATCTTGATTTTTAAATTAACAGTAGTAATAAATTCACTAGTTTCCTACAACACTTCCAAAAAAATGTGATTAAAACTCATCAATTTACCTGACAAATACTTATGGAACATTTACTATAGCTGAGTACAAGAATGTGAAATTAATAAAAGGTAGCTCCTACCTCCAAGGAACTTAAGACTTCATGGGAATAATAGAGGAAAAATAATACAAATAGCATGATCTAGGGTTTGAAAGACTGAAAACTTTTTTTTTAAATGGGAGAATTAACATTCTCTAAACAAGAGCTTTATTAAAATCATGGAGAAAGAAAAACTGTACTAGAGGTATTGTAAGTGAAGTACTGTTGGAAGTACCAAGGGAACATAGGTACAAGGCAAACTACTTGTCAAGAAATTTATACTTCTCTCAAGTGTCCACAGAAGGCTTTTGTGTGCAAAGAAGCAAAGAGACCAAGGAAGAGCTCTAAGGAGCCATCTTAGGCCCTCAATCTAGATGACGGATCCACTGCTAAGGATTTATGGAAGGTGTTTGCTACTGAGGATTTAATGACTTGAGTGCCTATACCATTTTGCTAACTTTGACTTCATTCTATTTTTATTCAGCTCTCCTAGCCTCCTCACTGTTCCTAGGCATGGGATATACCTTCATTTTAGGTCATCAGCATGACAGTTGTTTCTAGAATCCTTTTTCACTAGATAAAGGCAAGGCAAATGCTTCAGCTTAAGTACCACCTTCCCTGTGCGGCTTGCTCTGCCAGGCTATTTTAAAACACAACCAGCTCTCCTCTATTTTCCCTTGCTCTCCTTTTAATGCACTCTTTTGTCCACTGACTATGCTCTTTGTTTGCTTTTCCCAACAAGAATTTTGTAAACTTCAAAGGGAGGTAGAGTCATGCTTTCATCATTCTCAGGAGTGGCTGATGTGTACCACTACACAGCTGAAGAACATGGATGACATGGATGTATAAGAACTGTTAAACCTCATCATCTGCCGAAGAAAGAGAACTAATTAACAAACTGTGATAAACATGTATGATATCCAGGAAAGGCCAGTAAAGTTTTAGAATGTTTCTATATTTACAATTAGTGAAATGAGAAGGTTGAGGGTTTGTCATAAAAGCACGAAAGTATTGTAAGACAAGAGCATAGGCCCAGCACAGTGATTAATTCCAGTACTAGGTGGCAGAGACAAGGGGCTCATGAATTCAAGGCCAGTCTCAGCTACATAGTGAGACCTTGTTTCAGCAATAAGTCAAAACCAAACCCCAAATCAACCAACAAAACCACAACCAACAAAAATACAAACAGCAACCACCTCTACAAGAGTACCTTCTGACTCTTATGTCGAGAACACATGACAGACACAGTTTGGAAATAATACCATTCAGTAAATGTTTGAAATGAATTATGCTAGAGAACAGCTCTATATAAGCGAACAAACTTCTGACAAAGAGCAACAAAGCAGCCGAAGAAACAGATGTTATGTCAGCAGAAACTGGAGGCATTCTAGTCAATGCATCAAATTTTTAAAGGTCCCAGAGACCAAATGGGATGCAGTCAAACTTGTATGTAGAACAACACAAATTCTAATCAACGAAACTAAATGTAGTTATAGTGACCACAGGCTAGTCTAAAAAGCCTACAGGATACTTTTAAATACACAATCTCATGTGTCTTCACTCATTACAAGAAGGGCACAGAAAGTCAAGAAAGCTGATAGGCCCAAATCCTAACAGCCAACAAAGGTCTGAGGTAAAGGATCCAGCTTTTCTGATTCTCAATTCCAGGCAACTTCTATCTTCCCCACATGAATTCCTGCTGTTATACAGAGGCATACTTCATAAAGTAAGCAAGAATCAACCAAATAACCTCCAGAGGTCTGCTCTAGCTAGGCAGACCATAAGAGAGGGTTTGCAAGATTACTTAAGTGCAAATTTGGTTCTTGTATGAGAGTATGGTTATTCCATAAAAGGGATTTGACACAATGAGCACAGTGAAAGACACTGTGATTATCTGAATGAAAATGCACCCCACCAGACCCAAGGAGTGATACTACTAGGAGGTGTGGCCTTTTGGCGTGGGTGTCGCCTTGTTGGAAGTAAGTGTGTGTGTGTGTGTGTGTGTGTGTGTGTGTGTGTGTGTGTGTGTTGGTTATTAAGGTTTCAAGTGCACAATCCAGGCCCAGTGTCTCGCTCTCTCTTCCTTCTGCCTGGATATAAAACTCCAAATGAATTCTCCAGCACCAAGTCTGCCTGCATGCCACCATACTTCCTGCCATGATGACAATGGACTAAACTTCTGAACTGTAAGTCAGCCCCAATTAAATGCTCTGTTTTATAAGAATTGCCTTAATCATGGTATCGCTTCAAAGAATAAAAACCCTAACTAAGATGACAGTGAATATCTGAGTTCTACAATGTAACTCCATTTGCCTGTATATGCACTCTAGCTATACTTCATTTAAGTCAGAGCCTGGCAATTATTGTAAGGCTGTGGTATGGATGGGCAGTTATCTCCTCAGTCTCAGGGCTGTAGACTTCAGTGCTCTTCTGTGAGAGGCAGGTACAGTGTTATACACTTGCAGCCCATCTCTGAGGAGACTGCCCAGGAGGACTGGTGTATCTGAGGCCAGCCTGGGCTATGCAAAGAGACATGAAAACAAATTCTATTCACCACAGTGTATCCATATGGTTACTGGCAGTCCCTAGAAGTCTTTATTTGGAACAAGGCTGGAAGCACTGCCTTGGCTTCCTTTAAAGTCAATAACCTAAAAAGCTATGTACAGATAACTTAGTTACACAATTTGTATATTCAAGGAGGCAAAACTCTGAATTTTCTCTTGTAATGTAATGCCCAAAGGCAAATCTGAGTAGTGAATACTACCAATGTATTTTTCCCTCCTTTCCTAAAGTAGTAAAATAAGAAGATACTGCACTGGATAAAATCCAGAACTTTAATAGCATATTTTCACCAGAATCAATGTCATTAGATACACATATAAGGAAATATAACACAGAAAGCATACCTGTGGAGCATATCCAGGAGGCACATAAATGGGAGGCACGGAACCATTTGGGGACATCATTGGAACCTGAGCAGGACCTGGATGGGTTACAGAAATGATACAATAATGCATTGCTGCTTAGGAAGAAGAAGTGGAAACAACGTGACTACTTCACCTAAGCTAAACATTAAGTCAACAGTGGCTGTGATAAAATACCATGGAAAGAAATGAAAATTATCAAATTTTTATATAACATTTTATATAAACAAGTTATTATATGTAAGTTTTTATGTAACGTTTACTTCAGAAGTATACAGATTATTTTTCAAGTAACCTATATTTCCCAAACTCACACTAATCTGAGTAATACTTAATACCTAAGATTTACAGGCTCTCCAATAGAAATGCTCAGTTGGTTTACAATCTCAAATCATTATATTTACTGTACAAATACCCCATGGAACTCTAATGATTAAGCAAGTAGGAAAATCAAACTGAACTTTGTATTTACAAAAAGGTCATCAATTAGGCATACAAAAGGACAGCCCCACCCCCACCCCCCCACACACACAAATCAACAAAGCAGGCTGGCCGAAAGATGGATAGCAAGAGGAAGAACCATAAGGCCTTTGATGGGGCTTCTGTGTAGTGTGGGGTGGTCCTGTCCCTGGGGCTGAGAACAGTCAGAGGGATTGACATATGTAAATGATAAATCTAGTCTCTCCGAGGACAGGGACATTCTAAACAAAACCTGAACTTCACTTATACTCTGTCTTTTACTTTTATGGTGTCATCTTCCCTAATAACCTTTATAAATACTATCTTACCCTCTTTTCAACTTTCTGGGAAAAAAATAAGCACTTCTGGAAGGCTTTATTCTTTCTAATACAAAACCTTACTTGCTTTAAATAACTTTTTGAAAAATACCTCATCTTCAGATCTTTTCTCCCAGCAACTTTAGATTGCAGTGTCCCATAAACCAGTTTTGAATCATCTGAATTTTTATTTCTTTTATTTATTTATTTTAAAGAGAAATTACCCCCTTCTAAGAAAATAAAGTATCAGATCTGATTAAAAAGAAAAAAAAAAATGCCCAGGATGTTTAGAATTTAAATCAGTGATGGGAATGTCACCACTGTCAGGCTACCAGGACACAGGTTCCAGAAAATCCAGATGGATCCCAGCCTTTCCCCAGGGTGATGGGAAAGTGAATGAAGAGAAAAAAGAATGTTAAAGAAAACGGGCTTTAAGAAGAAAAATACTAAATCACAGCAAACGAGGGGAAATGAAGAGAAAGGGATAGGAAAAGAGGAAGAGGAAAAAGACGAGAGAAGATGGAAGAGGGAAAACATTAAATGGAGAAAAGGAGGGAGAACAGAAAAGGGATGGAGGAAGGGGGAAGGGAGAATAAGGATGGACAGAGTGGTTACTAGAAAGCAAGCAGAGGCAACACAGACTTCTGCAGTACACTATGGATGTCTATACAGATAACATCAATAACACACTCTCCCCAGAGGGAGCCCAGCAAATGCATGCAGCTGTAGTGCTCTGGGCCTGGCTAGCTACCAAGGAACATCACAGCTCCAAAATACATGAAGTTATTCTGAACGTTATCTGGTAAGAGATAAATTTACTTATTTAATGTGTGCAAGTTTTATGCCTACATGTGTGCTTGATTGCCATGTGTGTGTCTGTTGCCTGTGAAGGTCAGAAGAGAGTGTTGGATCCCCTGGAATTGAATATGGATGATAGTTGTGAGCCACCACATGGATGCTGGAAACTGAACCCAGGTCCTCTGTAAGAACAACCAATCATCTTAACCCCAAAGCCACCCCTTCAGCCTCCTTTCTCTAAATATTACTTTAATGTAAATCATAGGCACTAACTCTATATGCCAGTGTTTCTCTTTATTGTTTCTCTTTATAACCATTTGATCAAGCAACTATTTTTATCATTACCCATCTTCCAGACAGAAAACGAGGCAGAGGGAACTTAAGCCTGCCCACATAGCAGAGCCCGAATTAAAAACACTAACAGTTTCATTTCTCAGCATACACATCACATGAACACTGCAATGCTATTTGGTGTTGGTGACTGGTCTGATATATCAGGTCTTGCCTCTAAAGGGTTTTATTTTTATTTCCTTGAGAAACATGAGTGAAAGCAGGAACACAATTCTAAATTCAAGTAAACATTACTTATTAGTTTACTAAATAACACTTGTGAGAGCCTCTTTAAACCTCTATTCAGAAAGGCTTCATTCAAAACACAGTTTTCTGCTCTCTGGAGAAATGGGAAGTTGTATACTAATGTTCCATTTTATTCATTAACTAATTTACATAAATCAGGAACTAGCTTTCCAAATTCTAAGAACTGGTTTAGATATTATTTATAAAATGTGAGACTTGGTTGAAAAACAAAGACTTTGTTAAAAATTGTATTTGTTTTCTTAATAAAGGAAATTCTCCCTTGCTGAACACCAAGTGCTAAAGCTTAGACCTCGGGCACTTTACCCACTGCAAAGCTGAATCTTGTATCAAGTCATTAACACTAGACAGGGACTGAGGAAGAGAATGCAGAAATAAAACAAAGCAGACAGGCATCCTCAAATGCAGAGCTGTTTTTTACTCAAAACAATTAAATAGGTGGTTTTGTTTCTACTTACCTATTAGAATAGTAATTTCTACCTGAAGACACTGACAGCTGCGGGACACACAGCTGCTACAGGGTGTCCCTCCTTTTACTAGAAATAAGACTATAACTACATAAAATACCACAGTTACAAGTCGAAGGGCACTGCACTATGTTCTGTTTGTTGTTTATTTATTCTGAGACAGGGTCTTCTTATTAGCCCAGGCTTGCCTCAAACTCACCATCCTCCTGCCTTAGCCTCCAGAATGCTAGCATTATAGGCATTCATCTCCATCCTCAAGTTCACATTTTACTTGGATAGCTGCTAAAATAATTCATCATTTAGTTGTAAAAAAAAAAAAAAAAAAAAAAAGTAGGAAACAAACTCCTTTATGATGTGACCATTTAATTACTTAAGTAAATTTTCTAATTAGGAGGCAGAAATGCCACATGGTTAGATTTTTAAAAGGCAATTTACCAGTACAATACACATTATCTAACATACTGGGGGGATATATTCAACACTGAGCACAAACCTGCCACACCCCCAATTCATAAACAGTAAACACAGTATATTCAGATCCAAATGTTAACAGCACCATATTGTTTGTCCTGTGTCCACAGTAACAAAACTCTTTATTGTAAACACAAATGCCTGATTACCTTCTAGGTCCAACAATGCTTTGTAATTCAGGAAGTTCTACAAGATTAACCACAAATTGTCTTAAATTTGTATGCAGCAAAGCAGACTGTGTCCAGGGAATCCAACCTGCTATAAGGGAGTATATAAAATGTACACCCAGCAAAAGAAAGCTTGACCAACTGTGGGTAAGCCTAACAGTTCTTTCAGAATTTACAAGCTGTAGGCAAAAATCTATCCCAAAACACAGAGATTTCATTATTGTTTAGGGTGTTTCTTATTTCACAAACCTGAAAACACAGTACAACTCTATTTGTCATTTGCCTTAAATTTGTGAAATTCCCCACCCCACAATCCAATTCTTAAAAGTACCACCAATAACTTAATGCCTAATTAATTTCACCTACCATAATTGTTTCCTTATTAATCTACATACATATTCAAGACATTTCATTTTTAAAAGAAAAAAGCAAAACTACAAATATGCCCAAGCATTTAAAATTAAATATGCAACGGGCTGCTTACTGCTGGCGTGCACAATGGCTTCCAAATTATCTGATGCCAATTTTCAGGTCAGTCTTAAAAAAAGAAAACCCGGATAAAATCAAGAGGCCAGAATTGGCATTCTGTGAAATATAAAGTCAGTCTAGCTCATATAGTCGACTATTTTCATAACCCATTAACAATTTAGAGTGTTTTTATAGCGAACAGATTTGGCATGTATTAAAAACCACATAACACGGCTTTAGGCAAATATAAAGCTTGCTATGTTTTAAAAATGAAAGCGAATGTTCAAAAACAGCAAATCTTACCACTCATTTTGTTTCTACAGGATACAGGAGCAGCAGCGAAAAAGAAAAGCCAACAAGGAAAAGGCGCAGTACACGTTAGCAGCTTTAATTGGAGAACAGTTTCGGGTTTTTTTTTTTTTTTTTTTTTTTCCCTCAAAGCTGGTAAGAGGAAAAGATCCTTTGACCGAGTCACGTGACAGATATCACATGACCTACAGTGAACCGGGAAAGACCGGCAGAGGAAACAGCAAAACAGCGCCAAGGGTCCTGCTTGGGAGCTACTGAAACCGAACCCACTCAGCTGCTTCCCTGAATGCAAGCCGTTCTGCCTTCCTTAAGAAACAATGTAATCGCTCATCAAAATAAACCTTATGGAGACCTATTCGACGGAAACCACTCCCTATGTTTACCGGTTTATTCACCCACCCTGCTGCTGGTTTTCACCTACAAAGTTTGGAGTAAATTAATTTATTTCAAAGCCTTGATCCAAAATGTGAGTGAATAGTCATCTGCATTTTATGCTAAATCTTTAGGAATTTAAGAATGTTTATGATACACAAAGAATCGCCCACACAATAGGCATGGATGACAAATTCCTTAAAGATGGAATTTATTTCAGGCTTTCCCCCCCCCCCCTTGAAAGCTGATGTGGGTTTCTGCTTTTATTATCGGTTTACTTTCTTTTTTATGATTTTAAAAAATAAGATTTATTCTGAGCACTAAAGAATGATGCTTAGTGGATAGTATTCTTGTTCATATTTACAAAGTAAGACACCCATCCCAAAGTAGATAAGATACCTGGAATGTAACCTATACTTAGTTACAAGCTAGGAAAAAATAAGATTTTTTTTTTTTTTTTGGAAGGTCTTTTCATTACTTACGATGCCCTGTAAATTCAGATTACCAGCTGCTCACAAGCACATACAAGTAATGGCTGGGATCTGTGACATGCAGCACTGTGGGGCAACAGGACTTGGGCATTAAACGATGCTGAATGTTACCATCAGCCCCAGTACTTACTAACATGGCAGTTCAC